TAAACATTACCAGCTCTCTCATCCTTAGCACAATGTTTTGGTTCTCATTAGATCGAAAATAAATGGAACACCTTGGTAAACATATTTGGCATTCATAGATTGGATGTGAAAAGAAAATAATTGAATATTTAAACTTGTAGCAAATTAGCCACCTCAATTCAACTGCTCTTTCTCGCGTAACCAAATGGTTGGTTGTCCAATATTTTTATGTTAAAGTTAAAAGTGTTAATGATTAGTTTGGTCGACTAGCGCTGGTAACTGAGACCCGAAAATTGATTAATGCGGATGAAGATCTAAAAGACTGCATTAAGTGGTTTGAAAGCAGGTAGTATTGGCATTCAATTAAATAGTGATTTTGAAACGTAAATCAGTAATATTGGTGGAAAGGCTAGTTACCTGTAGACAACTTCTTTGTAAAAATTATGAAAAAAAAAATACTTTCCTTTTAACCTTCTCCAGTTATATTGACATACGAAACTGTTCTTTCTGAGAGCACGTTTATCATTTGTTTAGCGGCATCTACCCTCTGGTCTTACCCGACATGACAAACAATCCATGACTTCTCCAAGCTGCAAGAGCTGTTTTGTCCACGTTGTTATGATTAAAGAACTTTTGGAACAGGACTAAACTAATAAGTCACGATTAGTGAGAGAAGGAAAGGTCGACTGTCATAACAAAGGCGTGGTCTTTAGCGCCTACGGCTCTTTCTTAGGAGCTGAAAGTTAAGTGATAAAGTAATCAAGTGTTTCACCCTAATTCACAAATATTATGAAGGCTGACGGGTCGATTTTGGCAGTAGAGAGGGAGGGGGAGTGAGAGGGATGAGCGGGGGGAAGAGGAGTGAAAAGGCTGATTGAGACGAACAAAAAAGAATGAAGGCGTCGCTGGCGAAAAAAGAGGTTTCGTGTGTTTTGTCTCCGGAATCAAAGTATGAAACGGTGAAAATGACGTTATGACCACCATAGTGGCCACAGCTTGCAAAGGAAACACGGTGGAAAAAATGATGATGGTAACAATGATAACAACACACTGTAACACTGTTTAATACTTCTGGCTACTCAGAGGTTTACCAAAACAAAGCACACTTTTTCCACTACTTCGAGGTATCATGGTGAAATTCTTTGCACGAGTTGAAAGAGTTTCAATTAAAGAACAGTACTGAGGTAAATGAAAGAAAAGTTATATTTATTTGTAACAGAAAGGACTCGAGAACTGTGCGCTATCGCCGATAAAGAATCGACGATAAAATACGCTTTACGTGACTAATCGTGTAAAAGAACTCACCCTCAGAAGGTATGCGCACAGAAATTGTTTCAAGCCCGATCAGCCTAAATAGAAATTGTTTTTGGCTCAAAAACCAGAACAAAATGCTATAAATGGTTACAGAATTATAACATCTCTTGAATTGTTTTAGCATGAGTCTTGTTTGCAACTCTGACTGTGGCTCTTCAAGGTGACGTCAGGTGACACGAATTCCATGATGGACAGTGTCACCCAATCACGGACAATATATTTTCAACTGAACAAAAAAAGACTCTGAAGAAATAAATTAAACAGTAACTAACGTCAGTAACTTAAAACGGGAAAGGTAGCTCGCAAGGTTTGTTTTCACTTTGACAATTTCAAATGAGTTACACATATCAGGTAAAATTCTACAGCCCAGTGCAGGTGCAAAATAATTAACGTGAAGTATGACCAAAAGCTGTTCGAAAACGAACAGTGAGTCGTGAGTTTGATTGTCTCGCTTTTGTTCTGATAAACTTAATACATTGGAAGCTCAACTGGGATTTAGAATCCTTCTGTTATGATTTCTGATCTCCTAGCAACGTCCTTAGTAACACAAGTTGGATTTGCAGGATAGTCATCTTCGTCGATGAAGAATTCCGTCTTGGTTGGTTTCTGGCACCACGTGGCAAATGACGATGCAATGGATTTATGCTGCACCTTGATTGAATTCCATTGAGCATTAGAGATCACTTGTCCATGATCAATGCACGAATCAACATACAGTCCAATATTTGATGAGGCGAACACGGGCTTCATGGCTTTTAACGTTTTACTTCGGAATTTCTTGATCAGCTTCACTTCTTTCTTGGAACATTTGTAAGGAGTAGAAGCACAAGGGATTTCCCAGATGTGACTCAACTGCCACGAGTCGTACAAAGAGTTCACGATAAACAGACGACTTTTAACAAAACGTAAAAAGTACTGAGGGAAAACACATTTCCACAGGTCTTTCCCTGACATCTTCTTGACGCACTCTTGAGGAACTCCATCCGTACAGTCATGAAGCTTAAAAACATTCTGCATCGCCTTCCTGAATTTCTTCTGTTTTTTGTGTTTCCGTGAAGTTGTATCGAGGAAAAATCCTGAATCCGCAAGCGATCTGAAATGTGCATGCTTGGGGAGTTTTGAACGGACATAATCGGCGTGAAGCATAACAGCGAGTCCTCCAGCAGAGGTACCAGAAAACACAACATTCCTGGCCTCTTTTAGACTTGTGTCAGACAACAATTCCGATATGGTCGAATCCAAGATTCTGAAGCCTCTAAAATACAACAACGAACCTTCAAACTCTACTGGGTCAGATCTGTTGCCTGAAAACGACGAACCATCACAGTATGGGAGATACGCAACGCTCCAGTCGTGGAATTCAGGATTTTCTTTGGCAATGTTTGATAAAATTCCACCAGGATTACCAAGAGGTTTGAAGAAGAGAGAAGACCCCAGATGCATGCGGCTCCTTCCCGAACAAGCTTTCTCACTCTCGCACCATGCCCCACCCTGTAAGTAAATAATCCAGTTCTTGCCTGCTTCAGCAGATCCCTGTCTCACATAGTAACCCGGTGTGGACCCATCAAGACATACAGCGCCCATTTTGTCAGCATCTCTCACAGCGTGGTACACAAACCCATTTGATGGTTGATTGTAATATTGCAAAAGGGAACTTTCCTCTGAAGAGTAAGTTCCCTGTGGTGACTGTGGTGTTACTGTGTTGATGGTTGGACCTGATGAAGGATAATACACGGATGGGTACTGCGTGGAATATTGTGTGTTTGGATTGGACTGCTGAACATCCGCTGTTGGAATTTGACTTTCATTGAAGTTGTCATGGTGTGATTCCATTTCCTTTAAGTGATGGTCCAGTTGATGATGATGATGATGAAGTCTGTTATGGTGATGGTGATGATGATGGTGATGACGTTTATGTTCACGATGCTTCTTTACTTTTTGAGCCTCCATTGTCACATTACTAACGCTCCCGTTGAAGATTCCGCTGTCCGCGTGGTGACTGAGGGCTCGAGACGCGTCTGCTTCTTCGGTAAATGAATTATTTTGATGTTTGTGATGATGATGATGATGTTTGTGGTAATGTCGATGTTGTTTACTGTGAAGCTGTTTATGTTCTTCACTATTGTTTCCTCTAAAAACATCCTTATCGAGTTTCGAGAGGATTTCTTTCATATTGTGTGCGTAAGCCTTTTTCTTGTGCTCACCAGAAGAAGCTCCAGACTCATCCGAATTTGAGCCGCTTTTATCTGTGTATCCTTCAAACATAGAGCTTATATCTTCTCCTTTGTAGCGATGGCGGCCCAAAATGTCACTCTTACTCATCCCAGTTTCCTCTTTGTTTTCTTCAGATACCAACTGTCTTGCCTCTTCGTCAGTAATGGCATCGTCCAAGTAACTGTTATCATCCTCCTCTACTTCTGGACCCAGATCCCCATCGTTCTTGAAATCTTTGAAGAGCTTGTCATACTCACTTTCACTGTCCCCCTCAGTAACCTTGCTTTTCTTATAAATATCGCTTCTTTTCCTCTGAACCTCAGCTCCCTTTAGAACAGCGGGTGACATAACCTTCACCTTGGGTTCTTCTTTCTCTTCTTTTTGAGAGTCTTCATCGTTGTCATTTTCTTGTTCATCATCAGTGCTGCCGCTACCGTCTTGTGCGTTTAATTCTTTCTCAGGAGTTTCGTTTCGTTCAACCTCGGCTATACTATCCCCTGAAAAATCTGCACTCGTCTCCTCAGGACTGTCTTCCCCAGAAGATACCTGAGTCATTTTATCAACTGCTCCACGCGCAGAAGAATCTGTGGTGTCAGACTCTTGAATATCCACCATATAACTGTTTGGATAAATTCCACTCCCTGACATGTATTCTTCATGAACTTCTCCACTCCCGCTGGGGTCATCCTCCTCGTTTGGGAAAGTACTTCCGCTAGACTCTTCGTTTTCGTCCAAACTATGAGCCTTCTTCCCATGTGATGACCTAGCTATGACACTCTTTGCAAACTTTTGATCCGTTTGCACTGAGCCAGTTTTGTACCACAAATACTCGCCAGGTTTGCCAGACTTCGAAATATCTTGTTGAACTTTGCCAATTTCTGATTTCTGAATATGTCTTGAAGACACAAAAACAATCAGTGCTAAAGTGTACGCCAAACGTACATTTAACGTGTGGTATAGCATGTCTGAAATTGAATCGCAGAGCTCGTCGAGCCTGCCAACAAGTTAAAATCGAATCAGATTTGGCTGAGGGCAAGTTCTTTGAACTTTTCCTGAGGTAATTTGATGTCACGCAGATCCAGGTACCTGTGTTCTCTCTTTAGCTCTTGCCTTGTTTGTTTTGATAGCAAATCATTAAAATAAAGAAATGTCGAGAGCTTGGCAGACAAATCTGTTGTTTGTCAAACCAAATCAACCAGGGCAAGATCCACGGTTTGGTTCACAAATCGTCTATAATTAATCTTGAGTTAATGGAGCGGGTGGTTTAGCTGTGTAAAACACCACACCACCTGGTGACTTTTGAGTGCTCCGTCAGTAGAGAAGGTAATACTTTTCACAACAGTACTAAGACATTTAAACAACGATTAAGATGCGCGTGGCATTAAAGTAACCTGTAATCATCGATTAGAGAGTTTTCATTCTGCCTTTCTTGTGAGAGACTCTCTCACAAGAAAGGCAGAATTTATAAACAGATCGGATCTGTTTATAAATTCTATATCAGTTGTTTTTAAAACAGGTCATGTGTTTTGATATAAAACATATAAGCAATATATTAAATCAGGCGAGTGATTCCATTCTTATGTGCTGTTGGTTGGATCTGACCGTGAAACGTTCACTTCAGTCTGCACAGAAATATAAAAAGAATGATATAAAATGCTACGCAGTGTACAAATCCGACTTTAAAAAAATTAACCGACAAAGAAACTTGAAGAAAATATAGGTTCAGCTCTAGTAAATTAGTAATTAAATACATCCCCATGCAACACTGGGTAGACAAATTTCGACAGCCTTTGTTCCAAAAAAGCAGTGTAAATGACGCAAATATGTAAAGGATGAAAATTAATAAGTTTTACTTTTAAAAATAGGAAGGTCAATGTTAGTGTCTGCAAATCCATTAAATACAGGCGAACCATTCATCTAAGACCACTTTCGCATACGAACAGGACGTAAAAAGAGTTTGCCATACAGCGTAATGTTCCTGTAGTATTTTTCACTCCCGTTTTCCAGCTATTTAGAACCTGGCGAGCATATTTCCAATATAAAATTATTTCAGTCGGCCATAAGTCGTTACTACCAATTCCTATCCATCCACCATAGCTCAAGGCTCTCTTATTTTTGTGCCGAGATCTCTCCGCTAGTTTCTTTGTACAAGTGGTTACTCCCAATCATTAATGTCTGACTGGTATTTACTGTAATAGCTCCTTTTTTATCATAATGTGTTGAGCCCCGAGGATGATGGGCCTCCTTAGTACGATGTCCGGCTGAGGTATCCCATACTGAATGTCAGAGTTAGTCAGTTGTTACGGTACAACTGTTGAAGGTTGTAAATCACAGCAAACTTTTTACCATGTAAGGACCCTCCAGTTCGTAACCAATTTTACGATAATAATTTCGAGTTCCAACTCCTAAGGAGAAAATACAAGGTTTGTTTTCATTATAATGTCCTGCTTAGCTGGGGCTTTAACTTTTAGCCAATGAATTGTTGAAGTCAATCAAATAAAGGAATCATTCTTTCTCTCCTACATCAGGCATGGTTGAGTTCACGTGGTCTGCTTTCAAATAGTTTCGTGCCGAGAAGAAACTCAGTAGATAAATTTTTTGCATCACTGTACCATTCACTCTAACACAACAAGAGAGGTTTAGAAAATACAATGTATTATCTGCCATCTACCCCCACATTTTGGCTCATTTTCGAGACAAAGTTAGAGATTTTCACCTTTTTTTTTCCAAAGGTCAACATTTAAACCCCATTTTACCAAACAGAATTCATGAGCAATGCATGAAGGTCACTTAGTACACCCATGACCCTCTGCGCACTGAGAAGGTTTAGTGTGATTTAATTCTTAAAACAGATAAATACCTGAAATTACGGCAATTTTCTGTGAGCCGTGCTCTTCGCGGGCAATTCTCTCTGCTTCTTCCATCAACAACATTCCAAAACCCTGAGAAATGAGACACCTTTAGTAACAATCCTAACTAAATACATTTTCCAACTGTTACCACCTCACACGTGAACTTACTTGATGCTGAAATTTGGAAGGATCGCGGGCGCTGACAGGAACTACACTGCCGTAACTAAGGTAACAAGTTAAGGAAAAAGAAAAAAAGCTTGGACTGGATTCATTGCATTCTTATGGCCTCTACTTGCTTAAGGAAATAAACAAGTTTACGGTGTTAAAATTTCAGCCAATACACCACCGTCTCCATCCCCTCCCCCCCCCCCCTTTTACCTATCCTTGTTGTGATTAGTTAAGGAATGGAACCCAAAATGTCAGAATGTAACTCCCTATGAAAAATTACAATTAGTCATCATATGGTCCAGTTCCTGAATTCTGACTGGTCTACAGGTCGTGGTGTATGAGCTGATATACCATACACCAATTTCGCGGAATAAAGAATAAGATTCTTATAAATATTGAAATATTCCTTTGGGCGTTTTTGATGAATTAATGATTCCACATTAAATACTTAAGTTTTATCCTAAGTCTCATAAAAAAGATACACATGAAGTTCTCTGACGATAGAACAGCCTCCTTTCAATTCAGGTCTGAAGGATGCCTCTGAACACTTCCTCAATCTTAACAGGCCGACTAAAATATCTGTAGACCGTGAAGGAAAACTGATCTTCAAGATGTATTCAACGAAACTAGTAAGCAAACTGATCAGATCTATAAAAATCTTCTTGGGTTAAAATTCAGAAAAAAATATCCTTTATATATTTATCAAAATGTCTGTGACTCAAGAGTCTACGGGCAAGCCCTCATCACTAGCGCTGCAGGACGCACGTTTCACCGTCCGTGGGACCATTTGAGACGACTGAGGATAATTTTGCTGGGGTCTGGGACTGTTAATGAGTATCAGACCCTTTGTAGACCTCACACGGGTCCGCGAGCAAAGAAACGCTTGTGCCGGAGCGCTCGCTGGCTGGTGACTGCAGAGGAAAAAGTCACAACAAAACTATGCGTTATATATTAAAGTAAAAAGGATATCTTGCTCTGGGTCTTCATAGGACAGAAACGTTTCCCATCCACCATTCGCCACATAGTCTCGGCGAATAAGCTCAATCTGTAGAAGAAACATCAACAAGAACATTACTGAGATGGCGCGACATTACAGCCCTTCATCTAGAAAAACTTAAAAGTAATGTCATAAAGTCCTAATGTTTAAATGCAATAATAATGTAGTTCTATCGTTTATCTCACGATGTAGTCAATTCCTACATTGATTAAAAAAATTGAAAAACCGAAACACTGCACCCTCTGACTAAATTTATCGAGCTAAGCAGGAAAAACGACGAGAATGTGAGGCGTTACAATAAACTTAAGAACTAAGCAGGAAGCGGAAAAGAACACTTGACATTGCGGATGTCACCAACACTTGGAGAATTTGTTGATGCCATTAAATAATCATATCAAATAAGCCTTAACTTACCTCAAATGGTCGAACCTTATGGTGAATTTCCTGTATGCCAACCTCACGGGTTCGAACATCACGACACTAACATGAAGTGAAGAGTAATACATAAAATTGAATTTTCCATAAAAAAGAAAACCAACACACTTCTCACTGACAAGAAAAACATTGGTGACAGTAGAGCAAAATTGCTTTATGTATAATCACGACGTCAGACACGAATTCCTGAAATACTCAAAACTAAAGAGTAGAAGTGACAGTAGACAAGTTACATTGGGCGCAACTCCAGGAACAAAATTCTAACCTGTGTTCCCAAATCCTTCATACGTGCTAGTGCCAGTTCCCTCAAGTTGCCATGTTCGACACCAGAACTTACTAAAGGCATGGGGATATCCCTGAGACAAAAGCAAACACTTGGAGCGCATTTCAATTGAGCGTGGTAAAACAAGCACCAAATTATATGAAATTCATATATTTGCACTGTGGTGAAGAAATGAAATTAAGAGATCCTCGCAGCTAAGAAGACTACTGAACTAGTAATTGAAAATATGACCTGAAAAATCCCGTACAGGATTTGAACCCATGAACTCTGCGATATCGGTGCAGCGCTGGTCAATGTGTTGGGTCCAAATAAACCATCCAAGTGATGAATGATGATTTTAGATATATGAAATTCATATATTTGCACTGCGTTGAAGAAACGAAATTAAGAGATCCTCGCAGCTAAGAACACTACTGAACTAGTAAAAAATTCAGGCCCGTACGGGATTTAAAACCCATGACCTCTAGTTCAGTTGGTAGAGCGCTGCAACGGTATCACACAGGTCATGGGTTCAAATCCCGTACGAGCCTGAATTTTTTCAGGTCCTATTTTCAACTACTAGTTCAGTAGTGTTCTTAGCTGCAAGGATCTCTTAATTTCGAAGTACCAAATTAATTACAGCAGCCATTCAGACCGAAGGAGCCAAAGAGAACTCAAAGTAAAATCTCAGGAAAAACTGCCTGAATGAAGCAATCAAGTTATGGTTGGATTTGGTTTTACATGTACATCTGATTGGTCCAGACCGTTGCGCGATTTTCTTCACCAGTTAACTGGACGTAGTGGATCAAAGCCGATGGAGACATCTAACAGTTTTGTATAAAGATTATGGACATTGCCATTAGAAATGTACTTAACATAAGTCGACTTACACGAACAAAACTGTGAATACTTTGTATAAGGGTTCCCCCCTCACTTCCAGTTTGTGAGACTAACCTTTGTACTCTATAGACTCGTGTCCAGGGTGGTACTAACGCTAGAATCCTCGCGATCAAATCCACCAATGTATTAGGAGGGTAACTCTTGTAGCGGCCGGTCTTCCATAACTCGTACAAACCTAAAAATGTTTGAAACAAGTTGTGAAAGATCCCACGTAAAAAAAAAGAGAATAAATTAATGAACCGTAGTAATTAAGGGTATCCTTCGAAAAAAAAAGGTTGTTCAACCTTTCCCTGTGCAGTGTATCGTCGTGGGCAAGCTTATCAAGGAGTTGATAATTATGAAAGAGCGCACACAAAAAGTGTGTGAGACAATGGAATTGCTTTCTCATGAAATTAAAATTTTCTTTCACTTACCTGTACCACGGATTACCAAGGTTGGGTAAATTTTCAAACCATCTGCGCGAAACGCTGGATTTTCAAAGAACTCCTAAGATTACAAAAGAAGCAAACAGTTTAGTGCCAAAACTATAAGAAAATATTCTTATGTAAAAACAAAACATCAAATTGTTGTGTTAAATTTCACTAACTATGAATTGTGCAATGTCTCGTTCCAGTCCTACATTTGGTAAATCAGGCATCATATGAGAGACAACCTAAAAACAAAATTAAACAAGTTTAGAGTTTTCGTTACTTCCCAAAAACAATATATAAAAATAATATATATGTATGTGTATGTGTAAATATGTACATTAGTTGGAACTCTCTGTGAGTAACTGATTCACAAATTAGAGTAAATTGACAAATTCTTGACAATTGAAAAAACTTTTTTTAAAGGAAAAATCTCAAACTGAATTAACAGCTTTACCTTGAATCCTGCATCTTTAGACAAGTGAAATGACTCACTCACTGCTCTGACAGTGTGGCCTCTGAAAATGGTGTGAAGGGAAAATGTTCACTTGCATAGTAAACATCTGTTAACAGCTCATACATCATACAATAATTGTAAGGGAATTTAGCCAAATCCTCAATACAGATCACACATGAGTTGGGGAAAGGTAAGGTGTTAAACTGCTTCTTCACTGCCAGACTCTTTGAATCCTGTCTCCAATCCTCTATTTGAAATATCACAGATTCATGATAGACAAATGGTGGCATTTTTGCCTTCCTTTTCTGTCTTCTGTACCCCTCTGGAATCCCCCCCCCCTCACACTCACACATAAAAAAAATATTTTTTTTTCAAGCATAGTTAAATTGATCCATTAATGGCTGTGTCTATTGTGGTTGAGAATTATACAATTACATAAAAAAGGGAAACTTTACAAAAAGCAAGTATCCTCTCTCATGTATTCCATCATGTTTACCTGTTAGTATCTCTTGCCACATCTTCATACACGCTCTGGACACCAATCTCCAGGCGAGTGCAGCCGTACATTAGCATGGAACTAAAAATATGAAACAGGAAAGGATTGCAAATCTTGCTAACAGCTCAAGAGTGTTATGAAAAAGAACAGAAACTAATTTGTAATTAGAAATTGGTAAAAGATGCAAAATTGGAACTAGACAAATTAGCTTTTTGGGTTCCAGCTTCAACAAATTGCTTGATATCTCAACTGAATTTTAAAATTTAAGTATAGTTCTAGGCTCTGTCAACCCTGTAAGGTTTCCCCTTGCAGGTCAACAGGCATCTTACAAAACAGGTTATATAATGTTAACAACTCAGTTGAAAATGTAAATTGGCCACCGTATAGAGTTTAAAGGTTGACGTTTCGGGTGTAAGCACTTTGTCAGAGCAATCTGGCTGACGCTCAAAGTATCAGCCTTCAAACTCTTTATGGTGGCCAATTTATGTTTACAGTTGTTAACACAAAATTACCTGCTATACTCTCCCACCAATGCAGCACCACAGTTTCTTTAGAAACTTACTCCCTTTATTCAGGTTACAGAACAGAATAATTATTCCACCAAACATGCAATCTAGTATAACAGTTTGAAGATAAAAAGGGGGAAGTGATTTGGCTTTTTCCTTTTGTATTCTTGAAAAAGTAGAACACTCACCTAAGATGTTTTTTCAGACAGTAATCCGGTCTTGTTTCAATAGTTATACCAATACACTTTGTCTTGCTCCTCTCTGAGTACCTGAGTGGCATAAGAAAAAAACAGGTTCAGAATACTAAGTTCAAGTAATTTTCACTGTACTGCAATAATCTAAATACTGCTCCCCTGGCTGAAAACCTTTACTGGGTATTAAATAGTTTCCATTATGTGCTCTTATAAAGCAAATAATCAACAACTGACAGAGATTTTATTTCAACAATAGTAAATTACCAATCGTTTCACCTGACAAAGGCTTAATGCTCAAAACATCAGCTTTAAAAACACTTTATGGTAGCCAATTTATATCATCAATCAGTTGATAAAATGAATGGAATACTCCCACCAACACAGCACCATGGTTTCTTATCCCTTTCATTCAAATTAATAGAGCTCGATGATAGACTTACTTGACTGCTTCATCCACATTATTACTTGTGTGACCTGACAGGGCATCATGGAGATTCCTTATAAAGAAATCTCTATAGCTTTCATCCAGACACATGAATGTACCTCCCATTACAATAAACTCAACCTTCAAAATATAATGAACAATACAACCTGTTTTGAAGTTTTGGACATAAGCGGAAACCTTGACTAGGAAAGTAAGATTCTCTAAAGGAAGATGTGTGAATCTGCTTGTCCCTCTCTCGACCCAAGAGGTCATATGGACACTAACAAATTTTAACTAAACCATCAAGTAAATGCCACAGGTATCCCATACACAAGATGAAGTAATGGTTTTAGTTCCTCCTAGCTAGAGAGACTGAAATATGCAGGTCACTAATTAAGGCTTGTTAGACTTAACCAAATATGATTTAACAAATTGTAACAGATGTCACTTAGAGGTGATCTGAGTGTACAAAAACAGAAGTGTATTATTAATTCTCACCTTATCCACACTGTGTCCCAACTGTTTAAGCTGAAGAAAATACCAAATATTCTCATGAGGTCATTAGACACCAAATACATTATTCCACTTGCCAGCAGGGCAAAAAGTTTAAACTGTTACAAGTACATGTGTCTGTTAATCTAGCTTGTTTGTGAAGTTGGCCCCTCAGATCCCAGAAGAATAAGCTCTCTATACTAAGACTGCCTGTTTCCTATAGGATTCACCCTCCTTCTCCACTTTGTCTCTCCTTTCCTACCACCACTGCAGACCAGCTTCAGCCAGCCTTGCCTATTCACACCTTCCTCCTCTGCTCCATACAAAAAGATTGTTAGGAACCAGTGAAATTCAGGGCCCAGTTGTATAAAGGGAGGTTAACACTATCCAATCTATAAATCGCTATCCAGCCGATAAGTGATAGCAAAATGTATAGCGTTATCCACCAGATAGAGATTTATTCAGTGGATAGACTTGTCCAACCTTTGAACAAAGGACTTTCCGCAATTACATAACTGGAGATTTTTATAATCACCTGCTGCCCTCCAAATGCTACAAATCAAGTAGTGATTAATAATTACTAGTATTTCAATATGGCAAGTTCAAGACAAACAACCGTCCACAAGCAACTAAACTGTTGTAAGACTACCACTATAAGACAATATTCACCTGATCAATTCTATGTCTTGTTTGTAGATAAGGGTTATATCGTGCTCGTATTGCTCTCATTGATGTGGGCTAAAAGAAAAGAGTTGAAATATATGACTTAGATATATGTGCCAAGCAATTTGCAGGAGAAATATTTCATTAAAAAAAGCCTGGTTTATACTTAAAAAAACCTTACTTCATATCCAGTGTAAGACTGTGTAGAGTATTCAAAATCAGAGTCTGGCCCTCCTGGGCAATATCTACAAAAAGTGGAACACACATTTTATGATTTGCTGCCTTGAAGAACTACACAGTCATTTACAATAAAAAATAATGTTAGGTTTGTGAAGTGCAAGCCACTTGTCACAGAAACTTTATCATCCATCTTCCAAAAAATAAACAACAGTAAGGCTACTTTTCAGTTTGAAGGGTAAATATATCTGATGCAGATCTTTGACATTATGATATTGAATCCAGTTCAGCATAATGTCTAAATTCTCACAGATAAAGTCGCAGACATTCTCCATCACTAAGCCTGTTGATTTACCAACATTGACCGTAGCAGAAGTGCAGAGTTATGCTAACTTACACACAGATATTTCCAGTCATGTTTATATGAGGACATCTATGAGGTTTGCACATAACAGCCACAACTGCAATCTGGGATAATAAAAAAGGTAAGTAAAATCCATTTTTTTTCGTTGTGGAAAATCACCATTCCCTAAAGAGATAAAATAGTCCTACTACAGCAATGGTTTCCATCCTTGGACTCATTAAACAGCAATATTGAGTCTCCTTATTGTCTGCCTTATATATATCTAAGGATAACTAATGAGAATTACTTAAATCAAAGATATCCCCCTTGCTTATGATAATAGTCATCACGCATAATTTCCAAAAAAGTGCTTAACAATGATGAGAACAACAGTATTGTCCCTCATAATCACTACCTATACAATACAATGCAAAATAAAAAGCATCAGGATACTCACCCCTGAAGCTGTTCTTACTGGTTTGGCTTTCAACTTTGGAAGTAAGACCTAACCGGGTAAAGTACACAAATTCCTGTTTCATTGAAATTAATATTCCAGAGCAATCCCTTTGTGAAAATAATTACTGAAAACTAATAAGTAAAGAATTCAGGAACTAACCTTTTTATAGGCAGGAGGAACAGCAGCAATGATATCCACCAGTCTGGGTTGTGATGTCAGTCCGTATTTACTGGCAGCCTGTCCTTTGATCCTTATGAACCGGGACATAACAGTAATATCGAGCAACGACACAAGAATGTGACTCTATTGCCACTTTTTTTATAATTTAGATTTACTGTTGTTGACTACAGCATTACACATTGCACGCCACTGAAAACCGATTTTTAAGAAAATCTGGAAAAACCGAACAGTAGACCATCCAAGCGTTACACAAGCAAATGTTTTAGGAGTAAGACGTGTCCATGTATAAGGAAACTAGACAGTGCTGCATAACGAGGCTAAATAACAGCTGTGAAAGAGGCTGGACAAAAAGGTTATGAAATAACATCCTCAAATGTGTGCATTAACAGATATCAGGCACTAACTTGTTTAGATTTACATCATTTCCTTTCTCGTGTGCTGTGATCAACTGACTCACAATGTCTGACACTGTCATCATCATCAGTTCAGCTCTAGAAGCACTGGGATTCACTACAACGGAGTAAAGTAAACAAGAAGAAGGATTCTAAGAGAAATTTAACATAAGCTTAGAATGACTTCCAGTCATCTTAGGAATCTGGGCTTATTGAGAGGGCAGTAATGTTCATAACAAGCAAATAACGTTTGAGAACTTTTAACATGATTTGGAAAACAGAAACAACTCACACACAGACACACATGAAACCACGTGAACATACATCAAAAGTCCTGACAACGGATCAGCAGAAGGTAAAAAAATCCAGTATATGAAAATCAACTGCACAGACACGAATTCAACCACACCTTCCTACCTTTCTTGCGATTCTTTCCCATATTGACACTTTTTAACCGAAAGGATCTTGTTTAACCGAAATATGGCTTACTCAGTTGATGGTTCAATATGGCGGTGTCACAGTGATATGTGTACCCCCGTGATATGTGTACCCCCGCACACATATCACTAGTGATATGTGTACCCCCTCCAAGATGGCGGCCAGTGATATGTGTATCCCCCACCCCCTCCCCTCCAAAAATAAATAATTACGGCTAACTTGTGTTAATGGACGCAAATCGTTCACTGAACCATCTTCCACAATCAGAACTGTAAAGACACGACTCGCGAGTCCGACAGTTCTTATGGGCCAGTAGCAAACATCAAACAATCTATTGGAAATATAAAGGAATCGAAATTGTCATTTAAACAAAAATATATCTTAGGGATTCACATATCACTGGTGACTACAATCGTATCGGCTTTGTCGCCTGTCTAGCACTGAAATTACTTGCTACTAGCTCCTTTACTGGCTAGTACGTAAGTGCATGAAATATTTCACCAACTGACAGCAATTTTTATTGATTCCCAATCATATGTGTCATTGACAAATTTAAAAAGTACACAGACGACATCGTACTAGCCAGGGGATACGTATATCACTGAGATCTCTCGTTCAGTGATATGTGTATCCTCAACATATCTCGGGGTTACGCATATCGCGGAAATCGTAGTAAGTGATATGTGTATCCCTTGGTAAAGCAAGCGCTGTTGTCTTTCTAGCAAATTACTAGCTAAGCTTATATATGGCTAGTAAGTGTATTATTGATTCCAAATTGACAGACGACAGCGAGTTAGTCAGGGGATACACATATCACTGCGATCGCCGTTCAGTGATATGTGTATCCCCAATACATCTTGGGGATACAATGTGGATACGCATATCGCGGGCAATAGCAGTCAATATGTGTATCCCTTGGTAAAGCAAGCGCTTTTGTCTGTCCAGCAAATTACTACCTAAGCTTATATATGGCTAGTAAGTGTATTATTGATTCCAAATTGACAGACGACAGCGAGTTAGTCAGGGGATACACATATCACTGCGATCGCCGTTCAGTGATATGTGTATCCCCAATACATCTTGGGGATACAATGTGGATACGCATATCGCGGCAATCGCAGTCAATATGTGTATCCCTTGGTAAAGCAAGCGCTTTTGTCTGTCCAGCAAATTACTAGCTAAGCTTATATATGTCTATGGGGCACATGTTTTCTTTGAAGCTCTAAAAGGCCCGGGTGCAAAGCTTCAGTGTTTTGTGTATCCCTACCAGGGGTACACATATCACTAGTGATATGTGTGCGGGGGTACACATATCACGGGGGTACACATATCACTGTGACAGCGGAAATGTGTACTTGATACTTCATGTAAAATGTGTTTTGTCTCCCTGAAGATAACAGCGACAGGAATTGAATAAATAAGAATTTTCTTTCTTTTCCATTTCTTGTTCTTTGAAAATAGACTTACGGAACAGGTTATGAAAAGGAAACAAAAAGGCTTGGAACAGATTCTAAGCGCCTCGCTGGGAAGCGAAGGTGCGCGCTCCTTCGTCTTCAAATCATGGTCTTAATACGGTGCTAATTTTTCCATTTGTCCACAGAAATTGTTTTTTCACACACAGCGCTCACACGGCAGTCTTTCTGAGAATATCACTATAATTATGTGCCTAGGAAAATGTTTTGCCTTGTGTATGTTCGTACCTGAATGTGTTACTCATCAGAAACGAGCTTTTCCAACCTTGAATGCGTTTTAATTCCCCACCCCCTCCCCTTTCAGACTGGAGCCACTCTTGAAGTCCCCGACAACTAATGAAGCTTTTTTCACTTTTTTTCACACATGTTTATCGCTACTTCCTCCTTGCCACAGAGTTTAGGAACACATTGCTTATGCATTGCGGACCTATGTTTTTAATTGCGCAACTTCATGCACGCTCTTTCGGTTTCCTGTTTGAACCTCGGAGGAATCAGAGGTTTGTAGCAGGGAGTAAAGCAGTCAATCCTGTGACGAGATCGTCCTGATAAGGACTGTTGTGGAGGATGTCTGAAGAGTCAAAGTATGTTGTTTTGTAATTTATATTGTATTGTCATAAATTATAAATGATAAGCAACGGCAAGCTGACTTTATAACATGTAATTAAAGTGATAATTCATTATTTATTGCAAACTGCTCAGGAAGAAAGGATTTTTTCAAATTAATCTACATCACATATGGATAAATTCAAAGTGTAACTTGTAGTTATTTTGTCTATATTGCTCCCCCACATATCAATGGAATTCTTTACACGATAGGCTGTCAAACTATTGACAAAGCAATAACATAAGGCTTCAAGCCACGTTTTCAATTATAATAGATAATGTTGCTATTATGTTTATTCACTGTGTTCTATGAAAGTATTAAACAAAGGGGAAAATAGCAATAGAGTAAAGTTGTTTTGCTTTTTAAGTAATTTGAACTGAGTTATGCTGCCTAACTGAAATGAAACCTAAACCGATATTGCACCGGAAGTCATAATTAGTAATACAGGAGGCATCCAACTTGAACTTTTGCATTTCTTCATTCCGATTGATTTTGCGAAGATGCCCTATTAGTCTGTTATGTCTTCAACCAAAACGCCGTAATTTCCGGCTTTGTATCTCGAAATGATACGACTAGAAATATTTTTCCACATTTTAAATTTTCCTTTTGGAGATGTAAAACTTCTCAATACTGGTTGAGTTCCATTCTCGATAATACTATTTCTTTCAATTTCATCGAAATGGTCTTCGAGATTTTCTTCTTCTAATAAACAATTGTACGAAAATCCATTCCTGTTTGTCGCCTGGTTTGTTACATTGCAGTCTAGGTGTAGCCAGTTCATAAAGCGGTGTCTTCGTGCTTTTGTCGACGACGGGCCATTTTGGGAATTTATCCACATACTTTGAACAACGCGAGAAATTGCACCAATCCACTGATCACAGCTTGATTTACAGTCTGTCTTGAGGAGATGAACACCTCTCTTAGCATACAACTTAAATTTACAGGGGCCGTCATCGAAACCTCGCTTACGTCTAGAAATATTCTTTGAGCTCGAGCGGTCTGAACTTTGTCGAGACGATTCTTTTCTCTCCAACACTTTACATGTTGTCTCTTCTGTCAAGGTTATGACTCCGGCAATTTTCTTTTCATTCTCGTTCATAAACACAAGCCTATCTTCTTGAAGGATCACCCTGTACTCTTTCCACGTATTTTTCTTCAGTTTCTTTCGTAAAATTTCTCCTTGAAATAGGGCCACAGGGTTTGTATTCACCATAGCTTCTTCTAAATTAACTCGCCCGTCGTTGAATGACGCCCGTCGCGGTCCACTGAACCGTTGTTTATGTTACATGCAGTTTGCCAAAGCCAGTGAAAGTCCAGTGACGTGGAAATATCCAAGTTTTCCGTGAAATTAAGCTATATGCAACTGATAGCGGATAACAACATAGTCTTTGACGTTGGACGACACTTTACGCAAAAATCCTTGGCAGAACTTAATTCAATCACGCGGTGGTTTCCACTCGGTTGTGAGTGAAAGATGGCTCTGAGTGGATTATATGTTGCAATATGACTTGCCGATAAGAAATTTATTCCAAACTTCGATTGACCAATTAGCGCACAGCTTGCTGACCTCAACTCGCTCTTAAGACAGAAAAAGCCATGGTTGGTTTCCTCTTTCAAAACAGAAAAAATGTCTGTTATTTAAATCATCCAAAGTGACGACAAAGGGAAATATACGGCCTTTTCAGAAAACGTTGAAAGCTTTATCCTTTCATTACGGGAACGGAGTATTTTAAAGAATCCCTTTTAAAAAAAACTTAACACAAACACAGGATAGTGAGCAGAGCCGTTGTTTCTTCAGACAAACCTGCGGAACATAGATTTTGATTAAATTCGCTCTTTCCCGCGCATGATTCCCAAAACGTTTCATAAAAAAAAAGAAGGAAAAAAAATATATATATAAACTCAGTTTATCAAAATTTGAATTGAATAATTGAAGGTCTTGATATCTGCATCACGAGTTCAGCCGGTTGGATTAAGTCAAAGTGATAAAGAGGTGTTATAAACCCTCGCCCAAAATAGCTAATTAAACATAAATCAGTATATTCCTATCAAAAAATTCCCGGCGATCCATATGCTACCATGATATTAAAATGTGATATTTTTAATAAAAAAAAGTACTACCAACTCTCGCACGCTTTACTTTCAATAGGAACATTATAAGTGCTGTTTATTAGAATAACGTTAATGTGACGACCACCCCAGGACAAGAATTAAACGTTTTCTCTCCAGCGTTCAGCTGCTTCCGTGCTTATACTAAAATATTTTTACCTAAAAAATTGGAAAAGGAGTTGTTTCAGTGTTTTTGTTTGTTTTTTTTTTTTATCATTTAAAACAAATAGAATTAATGTTGTCGTGGGTCTGTACACTAATAGATCACGGATGACGTTAGCATGTGGTAAAAACATAAGTTACACACGTGCACACGGCTGCGCCTCAAGAACCACTTTTTTTCTTCTTTCCACACTTTGACGTTATCTGTGATCTATTACTGAACAAACGCACGGAAACATAAAATCAGTTTCTGTAAATCAGCAGATCTTTTGAAAAACCGTCAACCATAATACACGTCACTGTCATAAGTTTTGATAAGACCAAGGTTGGGAAAAATGTACTGCGAGCTCAAAGAACAAGAAATTTGGTCATATGTACATGCAATGTATTTTGGTGTAGGAAATACCACCTGAGGGTGAGAACTTGTTCAAATCTTTCAAGATGTCTGTCCAGTCTAAAATTAGATTTCCTACTACATCTTGTTTAGTCCCTCACCTGCGCATTTTATCCGCGTGCATCAGTAGTATGCCTGGAAACAAATTTCGCGTACTATGAATGCTGGGACTGCGCACGTTTCGTCCTTTTTTCGCCATCTTTGTTTTCACAGAAGTTCTTAAAGACGTGTAACCAGGGTAAAACAGACTTTCAGTGGTTCTTAGCTATGTCGATTTCGATGAATCTTTCCACTTAAAATCTCTCTATATTTCTTTGACTACTTAGATCATCGAATAAAATGCAGAACGAGGCAGGAGAAAACGTAGACATGTACACACCAAGGAAATGGTGAGTTGATCAGCACTCAATATATGAATTTTAGCTCTAGAATCGTGTAATGTCGTCGTCGAATCGTCGTTTACTGCTACGTTCGATTAAGGAGTAATAGACTTAGTTTTGGGTTACCTTTTGCAAAGTGAACAAATTTGACCTATGTATATGGCAAAAGTATATTGATTAACGTAAAAACCAAACGCTTTAGACAGTAGCTATAGGTTATCATCAGAGTCAACTAATTTGTTTAGTGTTCCATCCTTATTATTCATGACAGAGCTCTAGCTACACGTGCTTAGATTGATTATTATTGTGTTTATTATTATTGGTATAGGTAATCACATGATTTCTAGTGCAATTTGGAATAAATAAGCACGAGTAAAATGTTTTCAAAGACCTACAAAATTACACGAGCCTGCAGGGTGAGTGCAATTTGGGATGTCTTTGTAAACATTATTTATTCAAACACTGCAAGTGACGTAGTGTGTTCGGTCAAAACAACCACATACAATCAAAACAATAACATACAATAATATTTTCACATTTTTTAGCAGGGGTTTCAATAAAAGCCGGTTACCAGCGGTCTACCACTGCCTGTAGGACCTCTCACCTCCATCTGTTTGGTGGTCACAGCCGCCTATTAAACCTTCAGTGGCTGCTTATAACTAATGTTATTGAAACTTCTGCTTTAAGTCGCAAAAAAGTTAAAAGATGGGCTAAACAGTTCAAGGAATTGTTCAGTCTGGTTTGTGACTTCTTTGCACTGAATTAACCCTCTTCTGTATTGAATTACCTGAAAACTGCAATTTATCTTAACCAATCAGAACTGAGTAATTTTTTCATATATCTTATCATCATAGTTATTTTTTATACCTATACAGCTCCGTTACCAATCGTGTTATTGGGGCCAAAGACCATGCCTCAGTTCAGTTGAATGTCGGACAGGTAGGCAGGCAAATGCTACTCTGCTTCAATTCCAAGCTTAGGCTTAGGCTTCTTCCTCTTCCTTAAATTGATGAATAGAGAACTGAGTTAAAGTGGACATTAAAGGAATCAATTTCCCTCATTCCTTGCCCTTTCAAACACCACCCTCGCAAAAGACACATCACAACATTTCAGGATACCCTAAGATGAACAACTGTTATGGTAGGACTAGCTATGCTGAAATAAGCACTACATGAGCTTAAACTGATGCAAACATTTTGTCTAGAATTCAATTTGTTCAAGAGCAAGGGTCAAACCTTGGTAAAAAACTTGTTCATGATCAGGAGATTAGGATAGTTTTGAAATCCCTGAACTAAAGCCTCTTATCAAAAAGTTCATAAATTACTCAGACTGTTAAAAGAAATTCTATGGTAATGTTTGTTGGCTTTGCTATAGATTGACGAGACTGGGCGATTCACTGGCAGTTTTAAGACTTATGCTTTGTGTGGAAACATCAGGCAGATGGTACGTAAGGGTTAATTATGTGAAAAGATAATTTGATGGAAGGGCAAACTGGAGACAAATTTTGGGCAGGTTAAACATGTGGTTTTGTTGTTCAGGTTGCGGTAATGCCCAACTTGTAGCTGAGAGGTGAATGTTCAAACCCTCTTTAGTCTGAATTGATGTGTAAGCTCAGCCATCTGTAATTGCTTTAATTTAAGTTTTTCTGTAATGATCAGTGTGTCCCTTTATATCCACAAGCAAATGTACTTTGTAATGTAAAGTGTTTGAGAGAATAAATTCTTCATCAGAATGCTATATTCTGTCATATTCTGTAGGGCGAAGCAGATGATTCCCTAACAAAGCTTTGTATAGAAGATTCCATTGTTAACAAGTAAGTTCCCTCTGTTGAATTCCTCTTCTGTAAAAGTTAGTTGAGAAATGAAAGTCTGTAAGTTACCTCTGACCTTTTTTAGTTTTCAATTTTCAAATTTTTGTTTTTAGCATAAAATTCAATGAGGCTGTATCATTTCAGTAGTTTTTTTCTGTTTCAATCTGCCTTGTGTAAAGCATTACTGCTAAATGGTAACATGGTCTTTAACATTTTGTTGTTTTGTTTTATTTGTAGGAACTATGACTCCTAATATGGAAATGAAGAGGAAAGATCTTTCTTGATAAATAAATAAACTTTGTTGTTCTGACTGAACTGATATATTTCCTTTGTTTTCTTTTTTAATTGTTATTACAATTTCCCCTATTCACCTTATGCCCAACTCAATTTTCTCATTTTATCGCATGTTATTTCTTCCTGACTACCTCTTCATGAAGGGATTTAAATGATTCGTACACTAAGTAGTTTCTCTCCCTTGTGGTTACCCATAAGTTTGTTTTTTTGGGCTGATTCTCTGAGCGAGTTGCGGAGAAGTATGTTGACAAGCAAAAAAGTGCGCAAAAATATAAAAATGTTTAGTCGTGCACAAGGTAGACTCTAGTCGTTGCGGGAAGGGAGAAGGTGTGCGAATGTCCGAGTCATATGATAGATTACTCGAAAGTAACCAGGTTCCAGACCAAATTTTCTAGGACTTAAATCTGCGGAAATCACTTAAGAGTGACTGGAATCATGTTGGCCCGGGGAGAAGGAATCACGAAAAGAACGAAAACGTTGATCAGAAATGTTTTCTTGACGAACTTCGTTAGACCCATAAAGGAGATTCATGCTCGCTAAATAGAGATAACTACCATGCAAACAAAGGACGAGAGGATTTGATGATTATGTCACCATAACATTTGGGCCTCGGGACGATTACATACATCTAGTTTATTCTTTGAAGCTCAAAAAAGACTTCGAAGGAAGAAAAAAAATTAGTTTAGAAAGAAAAGTTACGGGCAGAGAATTGAGAAAGGAAAAATTACAAAAAAGGAAAGGATGGTCCGTGAGAGGCTCGAACTCTCGACCTCGGCGTAGCCATTAGATCTATGATCTAGGTGTATCAGCACCGCGCTCTGCCGACTGAGCTAACGGACCATGCGCTGACCACATGATTTATTTTATAATATTTAAATACCTTATAATGCCTTTTGGACTCTGTATTTGCTATAATGTTTTTCCTCGCGCAGTTGATTACTCTTAATACTTTGTAACTAATTTTAATTGCTTACTGACTCAGATAGGTGAAAAATATCACTTTTTCCCGAGCACTCCGAGCAGACGATGCGTGATAAATAATCGTCCATGACACCCTTCAAATAACACGGACCCACAACGATACTGATTGTGACTCATTTCTATTTAACGATTTCATCAAAATAACGGAAAAAACCAACAGGTCTCCGTGACTAATTTTTACCTTCCTTGTCACTTGCGCACTTTTCGCGAAAAAACTTTTCACTGCCTAATGAGGAAACTCAAACCAAACAGAAAAGAAACAAAACAAAACAAAACAAAAAGATGAATATAAAAAAGTGAAACACAGTCAGCTTTGCTTGACATGCGGTGCGGTATTATGTAAACACGAGATTCTTTCCCCCCAGATTTGAGTGAAAAGATTCAAGCCGAAGTTGAAGATTAACAAGTAAAGATTCATAAGTAAACCATTGATCACGAATTGACCTGCACTGCAATGAAACTTTGCTGCAATTAATGAGGCGTGTAATCAATGCAGAGATGTTAAAATGATGTGTTCGGATCTGCCTCTGGTACGAGAAACAAACGATTGTCGAAGTGTTATGCTACACATTTGTAATGCAGTAAATGCACCGAGAAATAAGTTTATGCAAATAAATATAGTCAACGAGGTAGGGCAATCAAGTTTGCAGGAAATACGGTGTTTCCGTTTCTATCCTAATTATCTTTCTTTTGAAGACTAAGAGTCCTCAGGTAAACAGAAGTTTATCAACCAAGACAGACTAAATATTCAGTAAGCTTCTAAGCCCCAATCCTTAATACTTCGGAAGTATTATGACGCTGATTTCTGACAATGGTTTTTTTTTTTAGGAGCTACTTTCTCACGGGTCTAACCTAACCACTGAGCGGCAAAATTTCAATCCTAGTCACGTACGTTTTTTTTCTGCAAGATGAATCACCTCAGCAGTTTTACACATTCTCTGGTACTTGATCCCAAGCACTGAAAAAAGAATGCCGGACATCTTTCCCTTGTCATCCGTGTACTTGTTTTTATTTTTTAACCATAATCCTTATCCGGAATATATGTATAAACTCTTGTCTTCAAAGAGGCATTTGATAAGCAACTGATCAGTTGGGTGTAATGAATATTTTGTTAACGAAAAAAGGAATGTTTATATTTGGTGTTAGCCGACCTCTGGGGCCGCACTCTCTTGCAATTTGTCTGGGAAGCAAGTTGGTTCATCCAGTCCTAAGGGATCTAAGATAAACATCGAGATTTCAATCACTTATGTGTCGAGAGATTCATTTCCGATCATTATTTAATTCTTCTCATAAACTTGTTTCTAGTCACGAAGCAGTGAAGAGCAAAAAAACGATTGTAGAGAAAGAACAGCCGAGGAAACTTTTAGCCACGCACATGCAGGCATCGACGGCTTAGAATGGCCATCTTTGCATGTGGTGAAAGTAGACTACACAAAAGTATCTTAGTATTCCCAAATTCACTTGATGAAAGCCAAACGAAACTCTCAACTGACTAGTAACAAATTATTTTATATGTTCGCCCCTTCTCTATATAATCATTTGGTACAATAATGCGCATGCTCGCGTACCAGCCTGAGGAAGGGAAGGACTAATGAAATAAGACCAAGATTAAATCGAATCAGGGAAGAGCTACTGACCAATCACATTACACACTTCCCCATGGATTTCACGTTGACTTCTCGTTTACCACGTGAAACCCGGCTCTTCGAAAGCCTGTGTGCACTTGCACATCCGAATGCAACATCCAAAAGGTTTGCTTTCTACCCTGCACCGAAAGCATTCAAAGGAAGAGGGAAATGAACCGGCGCCGTAAAGGAATTCCGCCTCTTCTCTAGGACTGCCTGTTTTTAAAACACTTGCGTGCCTCGTCAACTAGAGAAAGAAAGACGAGGAAAGCTGCAGGCGTCGTCTTAGCGGATAAGGTCTGGCAAGAATTTTCCTGTTGTGACCATATTCGTGACTTACTGCGCGACTTGTTAACAGTTCACTGTAGGTGTATCCTTTTGGGACGAGTAAATCAAATTATAATCGGGAAATTCCAAACCTGTTCTTTCTGGATTACTTCAAGTTCAGGGTGTTCTTTTCGATATCATATTCCCAATTCTAATCGCCAATTTACCTAAGTTTCTGTTCCTAAGCTCTCTCAAAGTCAACGAAATATACTGGGGTTTTTCAAAAGCCAGTGAAATATAATCTTCAAGTTGTTACAAACCGAGGATTAGAACAGCCATAATGCGTTAAGAAATCCTTTAGAGAGAGGTTTGTTTGTTTTTTATTCCACCTGTCTCGTAAATTTCAGGCTTAGTATTTTCAGAGCGCTTAACACTCGCTTAAGAGGAAACATTGATGAGAATTACACATATTCAGAGAAATTTCGTGTTGACTTTATTTGGAAAACTTAAATGGCGCATTTTTGTTGATCATCTGACACTAACTCTTGTTACAGCAACGGCTGGGTCCAAAGGTTTCATGACTGTCTACATTACTTTAGGCAAAGTTTTCTTCCAAAGCGTTAAAAGAACACCAAAAATGAGCTTGAAACCGGAAAACTGGAAGATGGTAAATTCATGTCCTCTTTCCTTTTGACCCCGACTCAGCTGGTATGGGCGGGTCATGTGGTGGAACAAATATGCACACCAGTTACGTGATCGTTGAAAGTTATCAATCAAACGTTGATTGGCTGCTGATTGACTGCAAACACCGATGGTAACTGATCGCTGACCGATATAGACGCTGGCGAGAATACTTCGGCTAAAAATATGGAGTGTGCGCCACATAATTAAGGACCCTTTACTGACCTCAACATACCCCTCTTCACTATTGACAAAAAACTCACAAGACTCAATTTGGTAGTCTCTTTTGGATATTAGAGAAAGTTCATTAATGAAGTTACATAACAGTTACTCTAATCCATATAAAAGTATGACCCAGCACCATTTGCGCTCCCACCGGCAAAGCGTGTCGGCAGTTTTGTGGTGGAAAAAAAAAAACCAGAACATTCAGTTTTGTGGTTTAGAGTTTGCCGGAGGAATATTCTAAGCTGTCAGCTGTTCCTGTATATTTCCTTAACTGCAACCTTCTCAAATCCACCCGTTGGTTGTTCCGACGAATTCATTCCATTACGCTACGGCTATTTTAGGGCTGTTTAACCAAATTCTGTTCTTACAGGAGGAGTAAGGGCAGAAAGGAATAGCAAGAATAAATCAAGAATTTCTTTCAGCTTATCAAAATAGAATCAATTTCAGCCGACTTCGTGAGTGCTACCAAAACGACACTTTCTTTCAGCGCCTGACCTTTTGTAAGATTGACGAGTAAGCACAATGCGCTGGTTTTTGTGGCCTTGTAGGTCTTGTGGGGATAAGCTGATTGGAGCCTTCTCGAGCTTAAAATGCCTTCCTCGACTTCAATTACACCACGTTTAAATCATCCCACACAGATATTCTTAACTACGAAAAAAGTCTGAAGTAACAAATCTCCCTTGAATCGTTGTTTAAAAAAGAGAACATCTCTGTGCTTTTTAATACAGACAGGCATCTCCAGTGTACGAAAATCTCGTGAGTTTTTCAAGATTAATACAAAACAAAGGACAATATTTCAAAACTCTCATAAACAAAATTTGAAAAAATATTTATTTCTACATGTACGGGAAGTTGTGCCCAGCTGAGGGGAAATTGGAAGAAGTAGCGGATTAAATGCAAAAATTAATTTTAAGTCAATTTGTATGAAATTGTGCTCTTTAATACCGTAAATCCCTTTTTGTTCCCACGCATATACCATTTACGAACAAATACTTTTTTTTAAATGTTGTGAGATTGAAACATGCAAAATAGAACTAAAAAAACACCATATTGTATGGTGGACTTAACTCTTACTTTCCGAAACGATTAAAACTAAAGTACTCTGAAGAACGAAAAGGTCATTTTCAGTCATCTTCTAAAATTTAAAGTATCGGAAGCAGTCGACCCAGGTAATAAAAAGTAGCAGGCGGTTAAACTCCAAGTTTCGTGACAAACCAAGGCTATGGTGGAAACGCTAAGCCAGCGAAAATCCGTGGGCTGAGATCCGCTTCCGTTTGACATACTTTGATTGTTTATATGAGAAAAACTTCAAACTTTTGATCACTTTCCACGTCAACAAGTTTGCGTGCGAGCGACGTTATTTTTTCGGTGGATGTCTTGTTTTTCTTTTAAGTCTGTAAACAGGTTCAAATTAGATAAAGGCTAAGAAGGGTTAGAGTTAAACCCTCTTAATTCGGAAACAAACGTCATCTCGATTTACATTGGTAACCTTTGTGCGACTTATAAAAGGAGGCAGTGTGCCAAGCCAACTCTCAATTTAGACCAAGCTACACAAAGGGAAGAACTCTTACAAAAGAACACAGCAAGAACAACATAATGAGAGCTAATAATGGAGGAAAAGATGGCCATGAACTTGCCAAAAGAAGGAGAAGAAGAAGTAGAAACGGGGAGAACATGTCAGATACTGCTTCCAATGGCAACGTTTCTTCTAAACAAGGAAAAAAGAAGAATTCTGCTCTTGAACAAGAAGAAAATCGCGGTGAAAACAACACGAACAGTCGAAACCGTGAAAGCCGCCGATATGGCATGATTGTAGAAGATATTTACATTGATATGGAAGACATTATTTGTGATATTCAGAATGGGAAAATCTCGTTGGACGCACTGCCTAAGTTGGGACTGTTTCCTTTACACGAGGCAGTCGCTCGCGGACTTACAAAATATGCCGAGAGTTTAATAGAACTTGGATTACAACTTACAAGCGAAACTCCTGACGGACTAACACCACTGGAGATAGCAGTTATGGCTGGGAATTTTGACGCTGCTGCCTTGTTGATTCAATATGGTGCTCCCATTGATCGAATTCGAGATGGAATTCCTCAATTTATGTAAAGGTTTCTATCCTCATTCAAGAGATTTAAGACTGGTTGTTACCAACTTGACTTGATGTGTGCCCTCTTGACTGGGAGACTAAGATTATTAAGACTGGTTATTTTATGCCGCTTATGAGTGAGAGAACATCACTGTGCGCAATAATTGCGCTCAAGATAACCCAGTTGTACTTCGTGGAGTATATTTCACAGACAATGTAATTAAATGTTATTTGGAGACAGAAGCTTAATTGTTTTAAGCAGCAATTAACAGAACATCACAGAAAATGTCAGAGATCACAATACTGTATTGTATTTATTGAAATAATAAACCATCATCGCCTAATAGCTATTTTTGTTTTGCTTGTTTTATTGTAACAGTTGACATGACAAATTAAAAAGGGCATGAAAATGGTTCACAGTAGTATTAGACAAATCTGTTTATCGATGGATGCTTCTTAAAAGGCTGCGGAGTCGAGAAGCGCTTCTCTGTCAATATTACCATGGTGTCGAAGGTAAGCAAAAATTCTGAATTTATCTCAACGTGGCTAGCCTTGTAAGAGATTGGCAAGTGATTATGAATTATGAAATTATTGTTTCTCTTCATTTTGGGCAATCTACAACCTCGTCTTTAATTTCACGCTAAAGTTTGTAATAATCATTCGGTTCTGACTCACTAAGGATCAATTAACTTAAGTACGGAATTTTGCGTGAGCCATGAATTTTTTTCAGAAACAGTTTCTTGCTTAATATATAAGCTTCTTGAAAAAGTTATTTTTTGCCTTCTAACTCGACTTGGCTTCCCAACTTTCTTTCGAGATTACGATCTTTATGACTAATGTACTTCTTTCGATTATTTGCTTAATACTCGAAGGTATTTGACTTCACGCAGTTCGCTTTCCGCCTTCTCTTTTCTCATATCCGGTCTCAGTAATCTCTATTCCTACTCAACTCCCTCCCCTGCTGAAGTTGAACAGGCACTCCCAGACATATTGAGCGGGTTCGCGGTTAAATTTCTTTACATGATCCCGAGAAAAAAAAAAAAAAAACAAAAAAAACCCAATGATTTATCATTCGTCGTTAGTCAAACGACAAAAGCGAACTGTTAAATATCATTAACTTTGTGGCTGAGTCGATCAACAGATGCGATGAAGACCCATGACAATCTTCCCGGGTCATACCCACTGCTTGGTTTTGGTTTTACCACAAAACTGGTGGAAATTCCATCACGAATCTCATATGCCGGAAGAAGTTCCCTTCTTGTAAAATTTTGTCCATTACATCATATTTTACGCTAGTGTTTTACTAACCCAAAAAAGGACGAAAAATCTTCTTTGTGCTTGACAAATAATAACGGAAAACCTTGGTAAGAGATAAACATATAGTTATAAAAAGTGTGATAAACCCCGTGGTTACAATCGAAGGTGTTCTTATTTTCAAGATGGAATTTTAAGAAATTATGGAAATATAACCACCGAGAAATTATACAACTTAACTCTACGTGCGTACTTATACAAATCGGCGATTGTAACGTAAATGAAAATTTCGTCATTTCGAGTAAAACCTTTTCTGTAATTACTGACAAATCGATTTCATTATAGACGCTTATAATCATTTTATTTCAAATACTTTCTTTTAATCGTATGAAAATTTTAAAGAGATTAATAAAAAAAAAAGTGTAAAAAATGAAGACAAAATTTTCATTTCTCTCTATGGCCCTAATGAAAATGGCGTCGTTTGGTAATGAAAATTTTTTACAGTTTTTTTTCTTCTCTTTTTTTTTATTTCAGAACTCTTCACTTAGTATATGCATCATGGACAAAGTAACAATGACTCATTCGAAACAGGAACTGGCCGGAACCAGACAGAGACAAAAATACGCTTTTCGAAAAATAACTTGGGATTGTTTTTTAAGCAGGCATAAAAAAGCAGAGACGTTGAACTAGTGTCAAGTAACTGTGATGAAAGCTTCCGTAAGTACTGAAATCAAACCAACGAAAATGATAGATTTCATTTCAACCATTGTGACGAAACTTGGTCACGAAATCGCATCGAAGTGTAATGTCGTTGAGATTTTGCCGAATGTGCTTAGTTTCCTTTGAAAACGAATTTAAAATTTGCGGATCTCGGTAGTTAAGGTGACGTTAAAATGCAGAATGATCGAAACTGGTTTCGTGCAGAAAATCGTTCGTGTGTGAGTCATCTGTGACCAGGTGAAGTACAGACGTGAGAGAAAGGATAATCCTGTAAACATTGCACTTGAAACTCAGCCAGACTGGGCTCCCTGCTGCAGCCTTCAGGAGAGTTACTCTGTTCATATCCGTTTGGTGATGATTACGAGACTTCATCGCTGTTAAATTGAAGATACAATGCCTCTTGCTTTAAATAATCTAATGATGGTAAGCTGAACACCACATGCTATGTTCGTCTCGTGAAGATACACTTACGGCGTTAAATCTATTCTAAGTAACATTTGGAAAGTACCATATTTGACCACTGATGAAAACCATGTTAATTTTAATTTGTATTTCTCCAGAATGAAATTAGTGATTAGATAAGGGAGGAGACAAAATGGCGCGCACCACAAGTCTTCTGGAGTTCGTTTTATTAAGACTAAACAATTATCTGATTTGTGCAATATATCAGTTGGATTGCTGTAAATAAAGGGAACCCTCACAGTTTGGACGTCGTCAAGGACAACGAAAGTACGTGTTGTCAATCTTTCAGAATTTCTATTCCATTTCTCATAATAGAATTCATCCACTCTGTTGAACCCCTCCCTTCTGTCACACGAAACAGTGATGAGAAGGAAAGGAATGTCTTCAATTGATTAGTAAATTCCCACCATAGACATGAAAGCAAAATTATGGGGATCAGTTTTGAGAATTGAAATACTGAGCTTTAACTGAAGAAAAGTGTTAAGCAGCTGCCACTCAAACAACTACTAATTTGCGTCAAAACGCACAGTTAGAGGTTGCACCCGTGATGTGGATGAAAGAAATGTCCTGTAATCCAATTTAGGTAACTATGATTTGTTAATCGAATCAGTTAATGAATTCACGCAAGAACGCCGAGCAACACAAAGGGAAGAACCATCGATCACATATGAATTTTTCTACAGGAGTATATTTTTCTTCCTAAATAAAAAAATAACAAAATATCTACGGCTAACACTTCACAATTTCAATGATCTGGTTTTGACACAATTCGCAAAAGATACTTCAAGTTCAGTTATGAACAAGTCGAAATCAGATTTGTTACAAGCCTCCTCCATTCAAATGTTTGGTGATGTCAAGAAGACGCGAGCTGGTCCCAGACAGACTTGAAGCATATTCAGGCTTGAAAACCTTCAGAAAAATCAGAATTAGCAAAAACTTTATTAAATATCTCAGACGGCAATCGTGAATAACGGTTCACTCACTGAACCTGAAGTTTTTCCTCTGCCGTCAAAAGCTCGCCGATGGTTCTGCGGTTTGGCTAAACCTTAACTAATCGCTGAGTTTAAAACAGATAATACAGTTTATCAATTTTTTGGCCGCGAGCGGTATCTGTGGATCTCATTTAATAAGATTGTTTCAAGCAAACTTGGCAGGGGAGGACGTGCGAGAATGTAGGCAGCAGTCAGGAGTCACGTGAAATACATCATTAGAACCCTTACCTTGTCTGATCTGCTCTGTACTTTGGTTATTTTTCTGCTTTGTTCATGAGAAAGTGTCTGATTATTTTCCTCAGATTTCCTCTTTTTACCAACTCTACAAGAATCTAAAAATGAAACAAACGTCTAGAAGTTTCCAAGTCAGAAAATTTTACATATCAAGATAATGATATATCGTTGACAACTCGTGAATTAAGTTTCGAGTGTGATAAGTTCGTGTTTTTTTCGTTTAAGCAGGAGAGGAAGTTTATTTGCCTAAACAAGCGGATAAAGCCTGTATTGAACCTTTCAATCGTAAAAGCTCAGCTAAACATACCGTCAGTTACAGGTTGCGACTCTTTTTCCTTTTTAACTTTAAGACCAGCTATAAAATGTGAAGGCACATCTAGAAAAGGAGACACAAAATGAGATCTTACATTACGTAACCGGAAAGACGATGATGACAACCTCTTAGCTATAAACTGTAAAATGAAATAGTGTACACCTACTACAGTTGATAAGGCTACCTAACATGTCTACATTATATAGAGCTAACTCCCTTGTTTACATCACACACAGCCATCTATACTCTCTATATACGTACCTACTTCGTAAGGAGAAGATAGCAGTATCTCCTGTAGACAGTGAAGAGAACTGTGTCTCTTGTAGACACAGTTGATAGCTGTATCCAATTCAGACAGAATAGATAGCTGTATCTTTTGAAGACAGAGTAGATAGTTATATCTAATATAAATGGCATATATAGCTGTATCTAATGTACCCATTGTAGAATTTTTTACACATTGTAGAAAGTCAGTGTGCGTTACAGATGAATTATTCCAATGTTGTTACATAGGTAAACCGAGTATGGTGAGTACTAAATGAGGTATTTGATAAACAGACTATACGCCGTGATACCCTCTTTACCTGAGCCTGTGATATCACTGTAAGCTTCAAAGAATCGCACCTTGTCCGCTGGATCCCGGATAAAACTTGAAAAACCTATCATTAACACAAAACAAGACATTGTCATAAGAGCATAACGGTGTATCGAGCCTCTAAGCTTACCAACCGCGAATATCTTAAGAACAAGATTACGGTCTTAAAACTGCCCACCGGGCTACTGACCGAGCATAAGCGGGTACTGTGCTTCAATTGCGGTGAACAGCGGCGTAAGTCCTTCGATGAGAAAGTCTAGGTCGAGGCTCTGAATAAGAAAAGATTGGTTTAATAAAATACCATCTTAAGCCAAAAAAAGGAAAACATCAAATTGTTTCTTCTTTGAAGCCAACATGCAGCGAAAAAGACAAATCTTGGCATATTACAAACCTGTTTGTACTTGCTCAAAACTTGAGAGAATATTCTGTATTGCCCATCACTGAGCGCTTGTTTCACCTACAACAGACCCAAAAACAGGCCCATAATTTGCACATTTGAAAAGAAATATAAAGTGTTTAAATAAAATTACTTTCGACAGCAAAGATTTGAATAACGGAGTCATACTGCACAACCAAAATCTTCTCTGTTTTCTCAATCATTACGTCACAATAAAGTGCTTAGGAATAACTGAACAGCAAAGGAGACTTGTTCAATTTGAAAAGCTGGGCTGAACAAATCTCATCCTGATTGGACGAAGAAACTTCAAACGTTCGGGATTCCTAATATAGAAGTAAACATAATTAATACATAATCAAAATATTGATAATAATTTACCTTACTTATATACATCTTAGCTTCATTAAGCTTCTGAGCCTTGTTGAGTGATGATGTATGTTGATCCGCACTCTGAAAAGGGAAGCCGACTCTAAAATATTGTACAGAGAAGTAAAAAGGCAGCGAGGCACGTTCCGCTATCAATTCGCAGAGCACGTTCGATAGCCTACAAAGTGGACTCCCCTAAAATATAGGTTGAGTTACAACGGCCTCAGTTAACGTCTAGAGAATATACACTTTATGTTCTCTTAGATAACGTTCATTTTCATTGTCATAGTCCCTCAGTATATCTTGGTCTGCCCCAGGCTTTGAGTCAATGGAGACGGGCCAAAGAGAGAGAAATCAATAAAAGGTTGTTGTCAAGGAGATAGCTGCCTGATTGCCGCCATTTATTGCGCTCAAGAAACGAAAGAAGCCTTGGATACCATATAAGGAGGGAAATACAACTGACCGATCTCGGCTTTTCTTCTTCTTTAACCTTAACCACCTGAAAAGAGAAAAAGGGAAAAAATCGGCAAGCCAGAAGGAAAAAAAATGATCTAAAACATTTGCTCTGACAATGGCTCAATAGTTTGGTGTGTATGTATCAACCTTGATGCCAAGTAGAAATTTAAGCGACTAGAGGCTTTGTAACAATCTATGTACCCGATGGACAAAGTGCGCGGCTATACATAGTTTAACAATTTTTACAAAATCTCTCGTTTGCTCTTTACTCCATATGTTCATTTGCTTTTTCTCTAGTGAACTGACATAACGAGGCTACGGTAACTAAGAACTATTATTATATATTAGTGAATAAAAACAGTTTAAATGCACTTGGCTATAACCTTCAAAACTTTCTTGGGCTTAGTTGTTCTATTTACTTCCTTTCTCTTCATGATGGCCTCTGACAGGCTTCTCTCCTGAAAATGAGAGAGAAGAATAATCTTTTACAGCAGATGGACACCACCTAAGAGGAAAAACCTTGCCTCATCAAGGCAGGGTTTTTGAAGTTTCATTTTGACGTACATTAACCAGTAAAAAACTCCATTTAAGTCTCACCTTTTGCTCTGGTGATTCTTTAGGCAACTCAGCTTTCGGGGCTGTCTAAAATTGATTAACAACAAAATTTAACAAGCACACTTCCTCATGCTTAGGTAAATCACGGCTGAGATTTAAAACATGTTTAGATCTACACATGACGACATTCTTCAAGACCGAACTGAACTCTGGGGCGATCTCTTTCTCATATCAGCAAGGAAAGTAACAAAATAGATTAGAAAAAATGGCGTACATTATAAACTATTTGTATGGAACAGTTTTACCTCCGAATTTGTTAAGGATTCGATCAAACTTGCTGGCTTTGCTGTGTTTGCCATGTCTTTCACTCCAGATGACTTGTACACATACTTAAGACGAAGGGACGACACAGGGGCTAAAAGAAGACAAACAAATGATCATGAGGGATGGGTTATGAGATCCGTTATCGCAGCGCAGTAGTAATAGATAGACAAGGGAAATATAGATTTCTAGATTCTAAGGGAAAATTAGCTGTTCCACTTGAAATCTTACGGAAACTATTTAACAAATTCATACCTTCTCTTGCTGCCAGGTTTTTAACGTCTTTTACGGTTTCTTTTCTCTTATTTTTCTGAAGGTCCGTTTCTTCTATTGATATATGGGACAGGTTTTCGTCAGAAATTTTTTTCGCAGACGTATTTTCGGCCCGGCTGGAATTATTTTTAAATGATTTGACCTTCATTGAGGACTTGTCGACCTAAAAACAATAAAACGGCAGATACGAATTAGAGCGACTAATAGGAGACAAATTTGGAAAAAGCCACCAAACCTAACGTTGGGTAACCGGTTGTTTCGCCTACGAAAAAGAAGCGTAACAGATTTCGACTAACTCTCTACTTACAAGACTTTAGTTGTACGTAAATGATTGCTTTTCAAGATCAACATTAAAAAGTCTTACCATTTTATCAGCAGTGCGGAAGAAATGAATAAGATCTCTCTGAACTGACCCAAAGTCTTTATATACTTTGACGTATTGTTTCATCCAACTTGGTAACTGTTGAACTGCATCCGGGTAAGTGAAACGAACGTCACATAATAAAATGGCACCAAAATCCTGCTTGTGACGTATGACGCGACCCACAGCCTGATTGACAGCTCTGGAAGCTTGTTGACGATACCACTGTCGGCCGCTTAGACCCTTAGCGATTATACAAAATCAGAATGATTCCATCATATTTAAAAGTTGAGACAAAAAAAGCGGAAATAGAAAACAGAATTAGCTAGATACCTTGGATGACGAACTTTTTGCTTTCCGAAGATTTTCGTCCAGGAAATTCATCTTTAAGCGAACCTGAAGATCATATTCACACTAAATTAATCAGTGTTAAATAACGAAGAAAAATCTGGTCTTTGAAGAAGCATACACTTTTGACCTATGAACTGTCCACATCTGATTCATAATTCTCCCTTCCAGCTGCTATAAATTTCCTGATATTCTCATCACAGGTTTGCTGGACAATGTGTTGAATTTGAGAATTAGCCTAGACAATAAAAGATGGTGAGCTTGCACAAGCGTCCTCCATATATCAGTGATGCCCAGAGCGTTGTGTGAGTAAAAAGAACATGGAGAACCAAGTTCGATTCCTTGTGGAGAATTAACATCTTGATCAATTATCCGAATAAGAGTCAGGCTCTTGCTATGTACCTTAGCGTCCATTTTTGGCGGGAAAGGGAGACCTGTTATTACTACAGCTCGGCCGTTCATGTCAGCAAAGTCCAGTCCCTCGCTGACCTGAAACAGTTTGTGAAACTACATAAGCCAAGGTGAGAGTGTTTATGCTCCAGGAGCAATCTAACGAAAAGGAAGAAACATGGCATTTTAATTCTACAAAATAATGGCTAAAAAGTACACAACGTAACTAACATAAATCTGCAGAGTTTCTGTTGGACAATAACATCATTTGGCACTGTACCTTTCCACGACAAACAGCGAAAAAAGTTGCAGCATTGTAACTCGGATCATTAATTTTTTCATAGAACCTCTCCATGGTCTTTAAATAAAAAATACATAAAAGTGACCATTAAGCAATGTAAGAATATATTCAATCGTAAAATAATAATGATAAAAAATGAAATACAAAATATGGAAAAATTGATCTCCTAATAACCTCGGCAAAATCTCCTTTTCCTTTGGGTTCGGCAAAAAGAGGTTTGTGCTGTTCTAATCTTGACCATGTTCCAGAATTCTGTGAAAGATAAAAGAATCAGCTTCAAAATTATAACTGTGAAACTGCCGAATTGTTACTAAAAGTTAAAGAGTAACATGGAAGTGAGTCTTCTGGGTAATTGTAAGATTTAAGTTAAATTCATCCAAAAATGTTTTTAATCACTCTATAAGACAAGCTTTGGAATTGAACTCATAACTTACTTGCCAGTGTTCCAGACACTTGTTCATCACGGGATACGAAGGAAAAAAGACCAAAAGACCATTTGGTACAGTTCTGGAGAAATTAACTGTGGAAATGCAAATTAAATCAGTTGGGTCAAAAGAAATTGAAAATAGTATATTCAAGATACAGAAACATTTTAAATTACTGCTGATCCTGAAAATACTAGTACACATTTGCATAACAGAATACAATCACAGTGATTTAGTCCATCTGCCAACAACAGCCTCTCTGTGAAGATTTTACTGACCTACCTATTGTATTGCCCAGACCAGTCATATACTCAGTTGTAAACCTTCAAAAAATTACAAGTAAAATCAAACATTTTGCAAATTTACTCAGTAAAAGGTTAATTAGCATCAAGCCTAGGTCCATGTGATGAGTTCTTATGTAAAACCCTAAACTTAAGCATTATCTCTTTACAAAAAATACTTGTATTTGTAGGGGAATAAAATGTCCCAAAAAAACACAATAATAAGGCTGCAGTAGAAGATCAAGTTCTCATTTGAGGGGAGTGGATGTTTTATCCAACAACAGTCAACCAACTCATTACTTTATCACATGCACACACTTCCCTCCACCAAATCTATTTCAGACGTATCCAAACCTTGTCTCATATGATGAATTTAAGGTGGCTCCATCAGGTGCTTTTGTAATCACACCAACCATCATTTGATGCTGTTCAATAACGTGAGGATTTTCCAGTTGGATCGGGAATGATCTGTACAACAAAACAAAAAGATGACAGATGCAATAGGGAATTAGGCTTTTTGTTTTAATCATGAAAAGAGAGCCCTCTTACATTTGCATTTCAGCTCTGAAAGACTCAAGTGGTGAAAGGGTTCCACTTGTCAACACGACTGTCCATACTCCATAAGACATCAGATCTTTCATGGCATGTCCTGGACTGAAACACCAGTAGCTTAATGTCCTACCTGTTATAATAAAGAATTTGGTCAGTTTTTCTCAAAAGTGTGAAATCATAACAGTAAGAAGTTCAGATGCTATTGGACATGAACTGTTCTCTTTTTGCTAAATATGTGTAACTGAACAGTACAGATTACCCTTAAACTGCATATCCTAAATCCAATATTTTAACAATGACTAATAAAAAAAGGCTAAAATTAAGGTAACTGTCTTGAGTGTGGAAAAAAAAAACAATTGCACTTGACTAGTCAAGGAAAACAAGCTCTCTAAACAAATCAAATGGTGCAGTCGGGGAAAATCAACACCATCATGAGATACTGTTAGTTACACTGTTAAAAATAGATTTCCCAAACTATTGATGAGACATCATAAACAATCTCAGCAGTACAACAATTGGGAGTCAAACCTTGTTTAGAAATCTTTGATCCTGTTGTCCACACATCCAGATTCTTCTTTTTCTTATTACTGTCTGGCTCAAGTTGGATATGAACCTGGTTTGTGACAAAAGAAAGTAACAATATCCATCTCACCAAAATTGCAGAAATGACAATACCTGGACTAAATGTCTTTAATACTAACAAGATTCAATAATATAAAAAATGGTTGTATCAGGCAACAAACAATACCTTGAAAAACTTTGCTTCATTTAAACTAGAAGACTGGTTTTGCACATCTTTGCTGAAAATGATCTGAAAAAATGAATAACCAATAATTCACTATCTTGCATCAAAATTAGAAATCTGTGAAATAGAATCCTTCTGTTAAAGGTTGCAAGGGTTTTGGGATTAAAAATCTACACAAATTATAATATGCATACCTCAAGTCCTAGCTTTACCCTTTTTACCTTACTACCCCAAAGTATACATACACCAAAGAAAGTTGGATCATGTGTACTATAGGTGGCCTCGGTCGACATATAGGCCGACAATCGACCGATATATCGGTCGACTATTGGTCGGCAACCAACCGACTATCGGTCGACAGTCGACCGATATATAGACCGATAGTCAACCGATGCATCACCCGATATGTACACATTTATCGGTCGACTATCGGTCGACAATCGACCGATAGTTGACCGATAATCGACCAATATATCGACCGACAGTCAGCCGATGCATCAGCCGATATCTGCACATTTATCGGTCGACTGCTGGCCAATATATTGGTCCACTGTCGGCCGATCTATCGGTCGACTATCGACCGATAGTCGGTTGACTGTCGACCGATAGTCGGTCAACTGTTGACCGATAGTCGACCGATAGTCGGTGGATAGTCGACCGATAAATCGGCCGATGTATCGGCCGATATGTCGACCGAGGCCACCTATAGTACACATGATCCAGAAAGTTTACCCCAGGCCTATGGTTTTTGAATAAGTTGTTTCTTTTATTTGCAAGGTTGAAGTGATGCTTCTCACATTATCTAAAAACAAGTATTGAATTCTTGAAATAACACAAGACAGTTACCTGCAAAGCATCAGAAAATTTTTGCAGAGCAAAATGTTTTCCCTTAAACTTTTGCGTATCTGGATTGAAATAAAAGTCATATGTAAGGAAAAACTACTTCAATAATTTCGCATAATTCAAGATAATAATTAATTTTTACATAGTTTTCCATTGTTGTAAAATTGTTCAGATCAATGTCAGCATCTGAGCAACTGAGCACCACCCCTCCTCTAACCCAACAACAGTCAACTACTAACAAGTTGGGTTAATGTTGGGTTAGGGGAGGGGAGGTGTGCAGTTGCTCAAGAACTGAAAATGATCCACTTGTTAAATACCTTAAGGTTTCATATGAAAAGCCACAGAATGTGTTCAAAAAAGCCTTTACCTCCAACTAACAGTGTATTACATTTATCAAGGACTTCTAAAACTTGGTCCTTGGTGGAGAAATTCATATTAAGCTTGCCAAGAAGGTCAAACATAAAGCTGGAATTCAAGCAGAAAAAAATCAGATAAGCTTCTTCTCAGATTCACACATAGTAGTGCTGACAAATACAATGTTTGATCTCAGATTTATGATCACATAACATCATCCCACATTACTCACTCTCTTTCAAAATGATCCACAAAAAATAAAAAGGAGAAGAAAACATTCAACAAATATGCATACCTTCCAGGTTTTGTCAAACCATCTCCATTCTTTGGCAACTCTTGCATGTCTATCAACTTCTCAAGTTCAATAAACAAAGCTTAAGAAAAATAAAGAAGTATATTTAATAGGAATAAAGATTCATTGTTTTATTCACAATAATACCTTGCGCATCAATATCTATCTAATTATCAACCAAAAATATTGAAAAAACCACTTACACTTAAGATGGGCAAGGTCTTCTTTGCTAATATCTACATCACCTTAAATTAACATGGTAAACAAGATCAAAAGTCGAGATGATATCATAAAGTTAAATAGTATGTAAAGTTCAGTACTTATTGACTGAGTAGGAAGGTCAGAAAGCAAACGTATTTGGCTCAAGGTCATGATATATGCCCTTAAGCCAAAATGTTACACATGTGGCCTGGCCTAACTACAACAGAGTCTACACAATTTCTTTCTTCTTGTATTTTACATCTAGCAAGACATGGGCTAGGGGTTTTACCTAGCCCTTCTTACAGCTTGCATGCAGCCCTCAAACAGGGATTTCTAGTAAGGTTTTTAAATAAAATCATGCAAGGCCATTTGGGTCAAATGATAAAATTATTCAATATCAACCACTGTGGGATTATTTGAACAAAGTTTTGAAAATAACCTGCTGTTTCAGTAACATCCAATACATTATGTTCACGGCATTCAATAATTTCAATACACTGTGCCACATCCTCTATACATGATGCTATGTCAAAAGATGTCAGGTCAAAGGATGCAGTTTCCTCACAAGTCTTTTCCTAAAATGATCAATGTGAAAGAACCTTCATTCTCTATTCATATTGAATTAATGTCTCCTACATGTTAAAACTATGCCTAAGTTGATTATCAATGTTTAAGTTTATTAAAGTTAAAGGTCTTTTTTTTGAGTAACAATATTTTAATGAAGAAAGGGGGTAACTTTGTAAAGAAACTATGGTGCTGCTTAGGCAGGAGAGTATAACAGGTAATTTAGTGTTAATAACTGAGTTGAAAACGTAAATTGGCCTCTGTAAAGAGTGTAACCTAAAGGCTGATGTTTTGAGCACTAGCCCTTTGTCAGCCTTTACACACTTTATGGTGGCCAATTTACATTTTCAACTCAGTTGTTAACACTAAATTACCTGTTCCAATTTTTTGAGTTCTCTATGGCCATACATTATCTTCATGAACATCTTATTGATAACCAACTTGTTAATTCCCTTGCCCACAGCTAGAGTACTCCCTTGAAATGTGAAAGCAAAATAAAGTAAATTTATTTTTCAGCTCTCTGCTGAGTTTCTTACCAAATTATGTGCTTCATCAAAAAGTATTATGCTGCCAGAAATATCCACATTATTTGCTTTTCTTGACTGGAAAGTAAACCAGTTGAAAGCATATCAGGTAAGACATTCTCCTCTACTGTAAAGCTATCAGCACAATCAAATATTTTTAAACATACTTTGAGATCCAAGAGATAGTTGTAAGGCATAAATATAATATCTGCAGTGGTCTTCAATTCCCTGGCCATGTAATATGGGCATACCCTGAAGTAAACAACAATTGCTTTTATGTCAATTAAGTGAAATAAATGTTTTCTATATTGTTTTATTAGTTTATTTTGCAATTTTAGCCATAAGAAAAGTTGAAACTGTAACCAGTAGGTTGTTGGTAGTGGTAAGGGGTTAAGGTGTGCATATGTGATAGGATTTGTTGTTGCCGTTGTTGTGCAGATCTACACATGTTTCCAACACAAACATTAATTGTCCAAAATGCTTTGGTTTGCTTGCAGTTACATTCTATAGTGGGAATAAATTATCCTAAGTAACCTTGTTTTCTATGACAATTTATATTTGTCACCTGTGTCTTTGTCCAAGTTCCACCAAATCTTCAATGTCCAGGATACTTTGTGTGAAATCTTTATTAGCCTTGTTTGCTTATTGAAAGATAAATTAATGAGGTGATAATAATGATAAATTGAATAATATGAAAATATTTGTATGATATTCTACATTCTACAGGTATTTTGACTGGCACTCACATAAAAAAATCTATTAGTGGACATACATATGGATCATTAGTTTAAATTAGCTTGACGATGTTTTCCACAAAAATTAAATTTAACATCTACAAGAGATTCTGCAACAGACCAGGTCGAAAATTTTTTTTCTTAGCCTAATTCCTTTTATGTGGTATTTGAAGTGTAATGAGGTGTTGCTAGTTTGAAATCTAAAGCTGTTTCACAAGAAATTCAATTGGTAGCAAAAAATAAATAACCAGTTCTGTTACCATCCAAATTGTTGAAAAAATGACACGTCCTTGCCTGAACTTTAGCTCTGCACATATGTACCTGTTATCAGTGTCAAAGTATCCATGATCAAAATTTAATGCACACAGTAAAACCATGTCGTGTTTGTTTCTATTTACTATGATTTCCCATTTTACCACACAACATTCGGAAACATTACAACTATTTCATTTCGACAATCTTGAATTTTTTGCCTCAGTCTAAATGAAATGATTAAAACTAGTTTGAGATTGCTTTCTTTTACTGTTGAAGCAGAGAACAGTTTCTTTCATTTTTCATTTCACAACCAACTTCCTCTCAATAAACCTCCTAAAAATACTTCTGTAACAAAGTAAGTGTTAGAGGATTGGAGCCCAGTTTTGATACTATTAGATGTTGTTCTCTAAAAACACTGGTCTTCAGAGTAAACGTTATGTTTATGTTGTTCTGGTATATATCTTATAACACTAAGAGAAGCTATCAACAACATCTGCTGTGTCAAAAAGAGGACCGTCAAAAAACAAACTACTTGGATCAAATTTTTTTCCTTTCCTTTTGACCACTCATCCCTGTTTATCTAAACTGTAATCTGCAGTCTCTTTTCTGACCTTTGCCGAGTTAGTTTCCTGTTTCAGGACGTCATTATTAACACAAAGCTGTTCACGAGATCCAATGATACTAACTTTAGGTCTGAAAAAGAGTAAGAAACTGATTATTAAGCTAAGTTTGCTACAAGACAAGCAATGAACAACATAACAAGAAAATTAAATCCCTTACAAAACAAACCCCTTCTAGGACAGTTTTTTGATGAAACAAGTTGCTTCCTTCTCAAGGCAAAATTTCTCCTATATTTCTTATATCTCTTAAAGAAAAACAAAGCTGTTTTGAAAAGCTTTACAGCAAAAAAAATTTTTAATTCCCTTGGATAAAAGTATAGTGACCTAAGTCCCTACCTATAGATTGTATTTTTAAGTTCCTGCACAGCCTGAGACAGCTGGGAATGTGTTCTCGAAGAATACAAAATTCTTGGAGCCTCAAGAAAAGAACCTAAAATTTGAGGGGAGAATATCAATCAGTTTAAGTACTGTTTGTTTTGCTTAATAGTCAATTATTGTGAAACTCAACATAAGATTTGCAGAGAAATTCTATGACACTGCAATACAACTCCTGCAATAAAGTGTCTCCTTTCCATTTCAGGGACTGAGATTATTGCATGTGATTCAGTTTAAAATGAAATCAGGTCAAACCAAATTCAAACTACTTTAATATCTGTTTTCCTTTGTTCTGATAAATCATTTTCTTAAACAAATTAGATCCTTGTTTGAAATAATTTTTACAAAAGTTTGAGTAGAATTCCACTAGAACTCAAACCTTAGGTTTTTGAGTATGCAAAAACCTCAACTGTTTCAAGACCCTTGCACTAACTCTTTTCACCCTAATGTCAGTGAGCATATTCTCCATACTGTTCTCTATACATTTCCTGTGGTCCTGGCAAGGAAAATTTAAGTAATGTTCAAGAGCCTCTTTGAAAAGTGATTTGAGTGTGATTCTGGGGTAGTATCATAGGAAGAAATTGGATGTTAGTCACTCTTAGGGGTCAAAAGGTTAATTAAAACTTAAATCTCATACCTTTATCACCATCTGTTGCTCCCCAAGAGCCTCCATTAGTAGCATGCTGTAGTTCTTCACCTAATGCTTGCACATAACTGGAACCACCTTGATCAGATGTAAGCCTCTGTCTAAGCTGCAGTTTTGCCACATAACTTTCTCTCCAAGCCAGTGTTGCACACAGCAAACAAAGGGTTTTTCCTGTTCCAGTTGGACTCTCGAGAATGCCATTTTTTCCCTAAAAAGTGCTTCCCACATTAATCATAAAAACTATCCGTGTCATCAAGAAGAGAAAAAATTCATGCAAATGAATATTTTGAAAAAGATTCGTACTGCACGATTAAATTCGACCACATAGTTCAACAAACTTAATGTTCCCTATGTCTGCATAAAGTTTCCGCAAAATTTAACATATCTTTTTCGCGAAGTAAATTTCTTAGTTGTCAATACACTTTTATATTGTTTTCTGAGTTACTGTTACTTTCTTACACAACCATTTATCAGTACGAAATACAAACAGTGCGAATTCAGGCTTGCGGAGATCGTAGTAAATATCATATAAATATATTTTACGAATAATCATCGCAAAAATTCAAAACATCTGTTCCTAAAATACTTTCAATGACAACGAACGTCGAAGTAAACTTAGGGTAGTACCTCTTGTAAACATTGAATAACCTTTTCCATGTAAGAAACTTGACAATCGTATGGTGGGAAAGGAAAATCAACATCCACGCCACGAATATGGAGTTGTACCATTTTAGAAAAAATAATTAAAAAAACCCTCTAAGTACGAAATAAGTGCACAGTTGGCTGAAGAAACGACAAAATTCCCGCCATCTTTGACAAAGTTTTTCGAACAGCAGCCAAGCCTCCTGTCCTTGACTCCAGACGCCTGGGTAAGTAAAGGCGAAGAATCATGTGACGTCATTAAGGGTGTTCTTTCAGTGGACGGGATCGGATTGAGCATCTCAACTTTTCCCACGTGAAAACAACCTTGCAAAGTAAGTTTTTGCTGCACTATCAGACAATGAGTCTTTTATAAATGAATGCACGTTACGGTTAAACATGGAGCCTGAACAATTTAAGGACATCAGTGACAAACTCGGTTGCACTTCGTGCGCCTCTTATGGTTCTTGCCACATTTAATTTTATGAGTGCTTGACGGTTCCAAGAGCGACTGCAAAGGAGGCTTTGAAATGCACAGCGACACAGAGTCTACTTGTTAATTTTTTTTAGTTCAACCCTGCAGGAACAGGGAATATTGGTCATTATAATCATCCTAAACGACTGAGAACCAGTCTCTTTGGAGCAAGGTCAAGTCGTGCGTGTAAATGACCTTCTTCAGGGATTTACTTTGGTCAACCTGCGCTTCTTACTTCACCCTCAAAGTGAGCCTCGGGTCTCTGACAAAAAAGTAAATGAATAAGAAAAATGACTTTACCTGTCTTGGATCATGAGCACATACCATAGTTTACTTCTTTTTACTACTGCTGTAGCTTTTTAATTGCAAGGTAGTTTAGGTTTAATAGGAATTATCACATTCAGCAAAAACTAGAGATGTGGTGCTGCCTAACGTTGGATGGATGTGAACTTCTCTGTTTCCAAAAGATATTTCTGAGATAGGTGTAAAACAACAGTTCAGCATCGCTACTGATGATACTCAGTGCATTTCTTTTAGTCTACATGGTTACTATCTAGATTCATTGTCCTTTTAAGTTCCTTAGGTCACTCCCTCTCAGAGAAAGACTTCTTTAATTGAATGGAAATCCATACGAGATAATCAGCAAACAGTGATACACAGAAGGAGTAGAGTATCGTTTTCTCTAAGGTCACTGTCCAAAGTGGGAATGAAATAAAAGCCACAATAGAGCAAAAGGAACATCTGTGAAAAAGCTATACAACTCCTCCTTTCTAGCCTCCTACTTTCAGAGGCATGCAACCAGTTATATGTTTTCTTGTTTGATAAATATACTTCTATGGAGAAGAACTTTTCAGTGAAAAGGAGAGTGTTATTTATGATTTCTAATAGGATACATGAAAAAATTACTCAGTTCTGATTAAGATAAATGCAGTTATCAGGTAATTCAATGCAGAAGAGGTTTAATGCACTTGATGCATGCGCTTTGCATCTGCATAATTATGATAAGCTATCTTGTATTTTTTCATGTATATTATTATGTAATCGCATGATTTTGAGCGTAATTTGGAAGAAATAAGCACAAGTAAAGTTTTTCAAAGACCACAAATTGCATTCGCCCTATGGGCTCATGCAATTTTGTTAGTATTCGTGAAAATTTACTCATGCTTATTTATTCCAAATTGTACTCAAAATCATGTGATTACCAATATAAATGGGTTAGGCAATATTTTGTCAATATTATGAGTTCAAGAAACAATTCTTTCTTAGCAAAATCATGTTTGAATAACCAAAAATCTCTCAATTTTGAAAGATCAACCAGCTCTTGCAAGAGACCGCCAAAGAATGTCTCAATAGTTTACAACCAATTTATGGAGAAATGTTCAAAATTTATTCCCAAACTAATTTACTTTAATTGCAACATTTGAATCCTTGGATGGAAATCCTTATTGATAAACACAACAATATACAATAATATTTAAAGTTTGTTTTCATTAACTATTATCATTAAGTTTCAAGCGAAGTTTCAAATTTAACAAGACAACATATGAAAAACTTTTGAAAACTACAGCCTTGTAACCATGTTTTCAGGGAAGGATATTAGATAGAGTTTGTGCAACAGGTGATGGTCATGACTCAATCTATGTTTATTAACCCTGAGCTTTCTCAGCTCTCTGTGTCTTAATTTGTTGGTAAACCTCCTCTACATGCTTGTCATGTGCCTCCAATCTTTCTTGTAAAGCTCTGAGCAGTGCATTGCGTTTCTCCTCTGATTGTTCCAGTTTCTGCTGTAACTTCTGTTTGCAAACTTTGCTTTGTTCCTGAACAAGAGCATCTACAAGTTGCCGTGCTAGCTCAATCTTCTGAGACTTAAACTGCAGTCTCTCCTGCAGTGAGCGGATCAAAGCTTCTCGCTTCTCTGTAGTTGTTTCCATCTTCTGCTGCAAGTTAACCTCAGCTGTTTTGGATTGCTTCTCAATACTCTCTTGTAAAGAAGCCAACACTTCTTGAATGCGCTTTTCATGAGCTTGCCAACGTTCCATCTGAGCTTTGCGGTGTAACTCAAGGTTTTCCTTGCTTACAGCTTCTTTTTGTTGAATCTTCTCTTCTGCTTTTTTAGAAAATGATGCAATGATCTCTCGCAGGTTTGCTTGCACTTCTTTGATGTGTTGTTCTTTTGCGTGAAGGCGGCTGTACAACGCCTTAATCTGGGCTTCCTTGTTTTCAGAATGTGTACACATCTTTTGTTTGAGCTTTTCTTCTGCCATTCTACTTTTCTCTGCAACTGTCAACAGTTTATTCTGCTGAACTTGAACAACATGTTCACTTCTGCTAGCAGCTTTGGCCAAAACTTCACCTTCAATACTCTGTTGTAGAGATGAGATAAACAGATGTCATGCTGAATGTGGCTTTTAAGTTGCCTCACAACCTTCTATTACATGCAAAATCATTTGAGTTCTTTAAATTTTTTTGGCAGATAAAAAGAGGTCCCTTTTATAACTTAACATAACTTAATTTGGTTGTAGGAGCTAAGCAGTACATAAATAACTACAGATGAACCTAAATTAATTAAAGAGTGATGTAATCTTGTTAAAATCCGAAAAAAAAAAAAACACTTCAACCCGTCGTTCAACCCTTCAGTGTTGTAAATATGTTAGAAATATGTCCTTTTTATTTAAAAATTTTCAATGTTTGCCAACTGATCATGAACAATTCCGGTGAGAGCAGATGGATGAAAGCTGAAATAAGCGTATTTCTTTAATTTCTACTGGTACCTGGGTTTTTTTCCTCTAAAATAGGTAATCTTAAGGAACTCTAACCTTTCTTCGTTTTTCGGCTGCTAGCTGCTTTTCTACCAGCAGCTGTATGTTAAAACTTTCTTTTCCTTTCAATGGAGTTAATCGCGGCTTCCTTGCATTCTCCACTTTGGGACTCAACATGACTTCGAAAGCTACGCTGGTCCCAGTGCAATTGCCTGCTTGTTCGCAGAATAACATAAATGAATTAAGAGTATGGAACAGAACATAAAGCCCACCGATAACCGATTACAACATTCTTCCACATTTAAAGATCTTAGAAACTCTGGCTCACCTTGAGATACCACAGACGCCATTTCACAGATTCAAATTGAACTGGCGGTAACTTTTTTAAATGTGATGCTATTACTTCAAGTAAAACTGCGCTTCTTCAACACGATAACAAAAAACAGAGTCTTTCCGGTAAACGAACAACAGCTAGCTTCTAGTTCCTCCAAGTCTCATAAATGGCACAACCAACGTACGATCCAACTGACAAATGTAAAGGGCCTGATCGCGTGTTTCAAATTCCTCCCATTTTCACGTGATTTTGTAGTAGTGATTTGATTGGCCAAAATGTCTTTCGCAAAGCGCGAAACTACACCTTTGTGACTGTGTGGTCTGTAAGTAGAATGGACTGCCTCTTTCTGCTTACATATGGTTATTGTCTTGAAACAATTTATTTTTTTGTTTGGCTTTGTGTTTTGTTGTTGTTGTTCCCTTTATTTATTTATAATTCTGTTGACAGAAAAGAATTAAGATAATATATGCACGTTCTGATGAGTCAACTACTTGTATTTTTTTGGATTGGTAAAGCCACGGAAAACTTGAACCTTGTTACACTTCGACAAGTCTTATAACCTAGCATTTAATAACTGGCCTCAAGGGAAACAGCGAGTTTTGTTTCCCCGAAACCTTTAGTGCCCTTCTCCTCCAATCGGTAAAAGTCCTTTAATTGGGTTGGGAGGTATGACAATAAATCTTGTTTGTTTTATTTAAAGCTTGAATAGAAACACGGAATATGGCAGCTGGGTTTCGATTTCTTCCTAAGCCTTGGCGCTTCCTTCATCAGTTGAACACTGAATTCAGCCGCCTTCCGAGAACTGCTATCCCAGCATGCAGGCTGAGTAGTACAACCTCTAAAACTCTCCTAGGTGAAGAAGCCCAAGCCGAAAATTGGCGATGCCGAGTTGATCTAGCAGCTTCTTATCGCATCTTAGAGAAGTACAACTTACATGAAGGGGTGTGTAACCATTTGAGTATGATGGCTCCTGCGGCAAATGGAGACGGTGAGGTGATGTTAGTCATCCCATATGGACTGCACTGGAGCGAGGTATCTAATCTTTTACTATCCTTTATGAATGAAGGATCTTCTTCATTGCACCCCTGCCTTTGGCATACTGTTCTGAAGGAGCTATACGATACACGCATACCAGGAGTGCCCCTATAATAAAATTTAGAAGCACATTCTGTGTTCAGACGAGTTTAAGGCTAAGGCAAAATCGGCCTGGGAGATTGAGATATCTCGGGATCGGCTTAGTGCCACGCTAATTGTAACAATGGTATTTTTTATTCTGATTCATAGTTGTTTGTTTTAAAGGTTAAAGCCTCTTCATTTGTTGGCTTAAATGTGAATCGTGAAGTGGTCGAGGGAGAAGGTGAAGCAGACATAGCTGCCTCTACAATTCACATGGGAGTTCATAGAGCTCGACCAGATGCTGTTTGTGCCTTCCACGTACATCCACCATACTGCACGGCTTTAGGTATCTTTCCAAATTGTCATCGATTTTTCGTAATATCGTTGGGACGAGGATTCCCCCGCGTAGTCGAAATTTTGCTTGATCGTATTTTAATCGTTTTAGCCGATGATTTTTGCTTCTTTTTAGGAACCTTAAAAAATCCCGAGCTTGGAATGCACAGTCAAAACGCCTGTATGTTTTACAACCAAATTGCTTACGATCGAGTGTACAGTGGGCCAAGTGTAGATGAGGAAGAGGGCATGCGCACAGCAAAACAGCTTGGGGACAAGTCGGTACTGTTTATGTGTAATCACGGGGTACTGGTGGTGGCTCCTAATGCTGCAAGAGCTATGGATCATACTTATTATCTAGAGCGTGCCTGCATGAACCAGGTTAGATTTGCCGAATTATTATGAATTATTCCTGCTATTACAAAAGTAGGGATCCATGATTTATTCTCTCGCTGGCACCATATGTGCAAGGACATGAGGACTGTACAGGTGATGAATTCCCAAATATTATTATTTGAATCAGTCTGCCTATTCACAGTGCGAGGTCCGAGACAATAGCGTTCTAATTCTTTAATGAACTAAAATCTATGACAACAAGATATGATTAATTAAACTTCGGAAGTCACCCCTAAGTAAGGGAAACTTTTAGCAACATAGAGTAATAAATTTTGTAGGTGAGCACAACGCATTCGTTGGGTGACGGCCTCATCAAATTTGTGCGCACCAAGCTAAAGTAAAAGGAACCTTTCCGAGACATTGATGGAAACTTTAACAAGAGTTTCTTTCTTTCCTTAGGTCCTGGCAATGTCGACTGGACAAGAATTGTTTGAAATACCGGACGAAGTAGCCAAGTTTGCATATGAACAAATTGACGGACCAGGAATAAGACAAAAATATTGCGATGCTCATTTTGAAGGCATGAAAAGAATTCTCTCCAAGGAGTGTCCCGACTTCATGGAATAAGCAGTCATGGGCCATGAAGTTCATCTCCCTTATGGGAGAAATTGACTTAGTTGGCTTTTTTTTTCATAAACTATCAGTGACTGTTTGCAGTATCTTACAAAAACTTAGCCAGAGTGTTGAACGGTTTTCCTCATGTAGTAAACTTCAAAACGATCCTGTTTTGTCGTTGTTGTTTGAGGTTTTGTGTTTTTACTTCGAAATATATTCACATAAAGTATTGAATTGCTCAACAATCGTACAGCTAAAACAGCGTATCAGCTAAATGTGTATACCTTTTTCCAGTGATGGTCCGAGAACTTCTACATTTTGCCCTGAAAATAGCGCAGATTATACTTTAGTAGAGCTTTTTTGTATTGATGGAAGAGAATGTGAATCTAATGTCGGGTTATAGATAAGACATCAAATAACTTAGAAGGGGCAAATAAAAGATATTTTGTTGTACCTGGCGAGCTTAATAGCCCACACTTTCGAAGCTTTACCATGAAGCGGCTTGCGAGCTGTTTCTGCTTTTAACCCCAAGATGAGTTGAAAAAAGATTGAACAATTGAAAGAAAAAGAATTCATACATATATATTTTTATATATACATAACAGGCTAGCCTACGTGTAGCCGTACCCTTCCCCCGCCAAGGTGAAACGGTGGCGAGGCATCGCTACCGTTTCACTTTTGGGGGGAGGGTATGGCTACACGTAGGCTAATAAAAGGCGCACTAAGAAGGAGGAAAACGCGTCTCCTTCCTTCCTCCTGCAGAAGATCCCAAGCTCTTCGCACTCGTAACTAGTCCTTCGCGAAGTTACTCGCGTTTTGCGCTTATGTACCAGACAGGAAAGCAGCTAATTGGTACTGTAGGCGCCTCAAATCAAGGTAGTCTAACCACCGGAGCCCAGATGATCGGCGGGCTCGTAACCGGTAATAATACAGTATACTTTGATATTGATAGACAAATTTTGGTACCTTCGCTAAATTTCTCGAGTCCCAAGTACTGATGATATAAATAAGATAAGTACTCTTTAGCAAAGCGGTATCAAGATTATTCACTCACAAAGGAAGAACGCATTGAAAGAATTTGGTGACTGAATTTTCATTCGTTCTTTCACATTTCACTGAATTAAAGATGGTCAAATCAGATGGTAGAAGGAAGTCAGCAACGGGTATTTGCTGAATAACACATCACTATTGACTGGTATGGTGCATAAGATACTGACCATGCCACTGACAGTTCCATTTTCCACTTGCTGTTTTTTTCATGAACTTAAGTAACTGAGATTCTTTTATGTCACACAAGTTAGCTGTGAATGTTTCTTGTTAGAGGATCTTATACGTGTCCCGTGACTTGTGGAAAAATTCAATTTAAAGGTACCCGTGGTGGCCTTTTCTATATATTCATTAAGATAACTGAGGCAGATATAGAGTTGTTCATAGCTCATAACATATTTACACAAAAGTTTCTTGGTTAAATTCAATTTAGCCGCCGAACTCGGCGATCTTTTTTCCATGTAATGAACAAAGAAGTATTATCCGTAGCAGGAATCTTCTGTTCAGGGAGGAACATTTTCCCGAATTGAAAATAAATTCAATTAGTAACAACATAAAGTAGGAGGTCTATGACGTCATAAACTGAGAGTAGAATTCTCGCTATTGGAGTACTTCAGTTGCGTAGATTTAGATGCTTACCACAAAAAGTTCACGAACACATTTTAGGGAGAGTCAGAGAGATGAAAGCTTGATCATGCCTTCTATGCACGTGAACGACATAGAGCTTTAATGATCGCCATGCTGACATGTGATCACCCCGTGTAAAGCTATTCACTAAACGGTCATTCTAAACGAGGATCGTGTTCTAAAATTGAACACAGAAAGAAACCTAATGGTTCCTTTTTGTTGCTCTGAAATAGAATTCTGCAACTAAAACATGAATCAAGATTTGGTACGCCTTATTGCAGCTGATATCACAAAATACATAATTTAAAAATGTTTTGGTTTTGCTCTATTGAACACTTCTGATAATCTTTAGATCGATCAATATTCTCAATTTTGTGATGTCGGGTTTGTCACGGGCTGGTAAGCTGAAGTGAATCTACGCATTTTCCGTAAAAACTGCGTCATCACCCTAAAAGGATACCTCTAATTAAATGTCTTACTCGGCATTCTACGCGTTATTCACACGGGAAATATTGGGGCACACAGGATGGCTGACAGTCCTGCGATGTACAAATTACATAACGATGAAATGAGTCTAAAATAGATGACATGACATCAGTACGGTCTCCAATGGGTGCCATAGCAACTATTTATCGTAAACCATTTACGAAAACCAATCAGAACAAAGAATCGATTGAGTTCTGTTTTAAACCACAATGCAAGCTTGGTATTGTTTCATAGTTGAGCGAAATTCATCGTGGGTTCCTCTGTTCTCCGTGACAAAGTTTTGAATCATGAGTGCTGAAATAGATACGCACATAACGAAGAAGTATGAAATCAAGAAACGTTTGGGAAAAGGAGTAAGTAACTGGCTTTTATCGTTGAGATTTTGCGCAATGCGCGCCATGTTTCACCGCAAGTTATCGATTTGCCGGCGTGTTCGCTCTTACTAAGTTTCACGATGTTTTTAGGCTTATGGAATCGTCTGGAAAGCTATCGATCGACGAACGGGAGAAGTCGTTGCCGTCAAAAAGATTTTTGACGCTTTTAGAAACCAAACTGACGCTCAGGTATGTGTTGTACATAAATTTTGCCGCGTGATGTACTTTGGACGCTATTTCTATGAAATATTTGGATCTGTAAAGAAGAGTACTCTCCTGTATGAACCACTCGAAATTACGGAATTGTAATTATTACTCATCATTGTGTTATACTTTGTATTACAGAGAACCTTTCGTGAGATTTGTTTTCTTCAGGTATGTAATTTAAATAACTAGTGAAAATTTTTCGTAGAGGAAGTTATATTTTTGTACCGCTGTAGTCTTTCATTTTCTGCGCGAAATGTTGATTTCCGTGTCCTGTGTTTATTCCAGGAATTTGGAGATCACGACAACATCATCAAACTGCTAAACGTAATAAAAGCAGATAATGATAAAGACATCTACCTGGTTTTTGAATATATGGGTAAGTTAATTTTTGAATTAATTGTGAGTTTTGAATCCCAATCATAGAATTTGTTCATTCAACTTTAGGGTTTTAGTTGAAACTATGATTTTGTGATACATACATGATTTTTATGAACCGACATTAAGTTGAGCCTTGGAATATTCCAGTTCATATTGCTTAAAATCAGACATTTCGTCCAGGGCCAATAGCCGACTCGTTTAGCTTATGCTAAAATGGGATCGCGTCTGTTTCCTATCGTGTTTTGGTAATTTGCATGTTCGGCCTCCTTCGATTATATTGAGTAATTTCCTTCGCTCTAGTTCTCTTAGTTTAGGTGAGCATGCCGAGTATCTTAGTTTCAGAGCCGATATTCGAGGAAGCTAGTGTAATTCTATGGCCTAACACTAAATAATACTCAACTTTCTACGTGAAAAGAATGAAATTTGTTCACCAACGATGAAGCATCGTGCTTTTTTATTAATCATAACATTCGGTAATCCGTGCAATTCATTATGCTCTTGAATTCGTGACAGATAAAGAAGAAAAGCAAATCAACAATATGGTATTTTGAGGGAATGTCTGGTTTCTGACATTTTCAATATTATGTATTTTGGTGTGTTATTTATTCATATTTCTAGAACTTGTGTATTGTGATTTGAACGTTTAATATTCATAATTCTTAAGGGGTTTGGATTAACTCATCCCTTTGGAAATTGTACAAGAACTTGTGGCTGCACGAGTGATTCAGTGCACAAGTGTGATTGGACTAGATCTATTTTCAGCTTGCAAGTCAGTAATTTTAACATTAATTTCTCTAAGTTTTAAGAGTACTCCACCTAAAGAGCAAGGGTAATACAAGTTTATGAACTTTCTTTCAGTTGTCAAACTTTCAAGCACAGTTCGATTTGGATTGCAAATTTTCTTCATCTATTATTATGATTTTTAAGTGCATGGACATGAAATACTTGTATGATGAACGATCCTAAAGACAGAACCATTTGTAACCTTTTTCTCTATTTTAGTCCCTAATAGCTTTTCAAATTGTCATTTTTGCATTCCATTTCACAGCTTTGTGGTCAAATCCTAGTGTTAGCACCTGTAAGCCTTATGGTACATCACTTACAACTATGAAAGGATGTAGGAATTTTGACCAGTGATTTACATCATCAGTTGAAATAGTTAACACATTTATATCAAAATTAGGAATTAGCTGTGTTTTTTACACTTTTGATTTTACTGACAGATACTGATCTTCATAATGTAATAAAGAAAGGAAACATTCTTAAAGATATACACAAAAGATATATTATGTATCAGGTAAGGTACTTCAGTTTAATAAATTAGTATAAAGTTGATTACAGGTGGAAAACAGTGGTAACTTCTCCTGAAGAAGACACTGAGGAATCATAATATTGTATCATTTAAATTTCTATGCATTTCAATTCTTAATATTAAGCGGGAAATTGTACCTGTCAGAGTTGGGTTTATTACCTTGCCTCATACATTTATTGAAGACCATTATGGCAATTATTTTGAAGAGTAGAACTCTTGCATAAATCTAAGTGCTCTAAATGGCTGAAGATCTTTGAAGAACTTTTCCCAGAAGCTTTTAATTAACTTAATTTATTGTCAAAGGAAGGCATCAAGCGTGATGTGCTTTTCTCGCCAATGATCAATATTGTTTGAGAGTTTTCTGTATTGTTCAATGGTCATAAGACAAAATTCTCATTTTAAAATCTACTCTGAATTTTTTGTGCTTTCATTCTCTGGATACAAACATTATTTTGTACTCACAAAACTTTGAAAATCATCTTGAAGGTTAAATTTAAAATCTTGATGTATAGTTGGAAATTATCATCTCATTATATGAGGAGCTGTTTAACATCAGTGGACATTATATTTATCATAATGTACTAGTCATTTTTAAGATGAACAAATGTGCCTTCACATGTAAGAATTTATGGATTGCTGATCATGTTTTATTCTGTTCTTGGCAAGTTGTAACATCTTTGGAATGTTTTAGATGGTGGTATTATTCGCCCCTTTAATGGTAATTAGTTCCTTCTGTGACATCAGGAGGGAGAACCCTTCCATTTTATCGGCAGTATATTGGATATATGGTTTGTAATATTGTGATTATTTGTGCTGCAGATATTTAGGGCAGTTATGTACCTACACTCAGGAAATGTCATACACAGAGATCAAAAGGTATGATAATAATTCATAATACATCTTCCTAATTTTCATATTTGTTCTGCAAAGCTGAGTGGTATTCAAAAGATTTTTTTGGCTTAACATGCAGTGGAAAGTATGCTGAAAAATTATAGTATAACATGTAACTTTTCAAAATGTAATTCATCATCCAGCAAATAGGGATTATAGTAGGGAGAGGTTGTTGATGGAATACCAAATTCTCTTCATATATATATATATGTATGGAGATGTATGGCAGCTAGAAGAGAGAAACTTTAATCAGACTGTGGAAGTTGATGGGATTAAAATTATCTCAGGATTTGTTTAAAAAGGCTTGGCAAATGAGTCGAAAAGCAAGTTTACAAGGTATTCTTAATTTTCTTTCAGCCAAGTAATGTCCTCCTGGATTCAGAGTGTTTTGTTAAGGTAAGTCATAAATTTTTATCAAATGTTGCAAGATTTCCAGCTAGAATGGTAGGAATAAACTATTATTTATGATGTACTCCTTCTTTAGCACATTCATTCACATTCATTCACATTCATTCTAATATACAGATGTAGTGCTGTTGTTGTTTTATTGTGTTTATATACTCAAAGAATATTTTACTGTAACATGCCAGGTTCGTTGAATGAAAATAGCAAGGATGAAAAATACTCATTTTAGGCAGGATTCATAGTATTTCTATTTACCTGATTGATTAATTTGCACGTTGCAGATGTGTGACTTTGGTCTAGCTAGATCAGTTACCAGTATGACGCAAGAAGCTGGTGATCCAAGTTTAACAGATTATGTGGCAACACGCTGGTACAGAGCTCCTGAAATTCTGCTAGCATCACCAAGGTAAAGCAAGAGAATCTCTTCATCTTTAATAAGTTCAAGAGCTTTAACTTCATATTTCTAAACGTGTCTGACATAGTGTTAACTACAATCATTGTAAAAATTATTTTATCATTTCTTCCTCTCAGGTATACAAAGGGTGTAGATATGTGGTCTCTAGGATGTATTTTAGGAGAGATGCTTTTAGGTAAGTTCAAAATCTGTCACTTGAAGAACTTACTTGATGCTCACCTCTCTCCTCTCATTGTCATTTTTTCAGCTGAATTTTTTTCTTCGTTCATAATCCAAAAGCTTTAGTGTGGCATTCAAATTATCACAGTCAGTCAATTGTATGTGAAATACTGGTAATTCAGTTTAAGGCTTGGCTTCCATTCAGTTAAGAGTATCTGAACCACCCAATTGGAGTAGAGGGAAATTCTAACTTGTATTTGTTTTTGTAAAAACTGAAGAAGAAATCATCTTTACCCATACTGTATTTTGCATTTTTTTCTTAACAATTGTACTATCGTTGCAGGGAAACCAATATTTCCAGGAACATCAACTTTAGATCAAATAGAGAAAATTATGACAATAATCCCCACACCATCTAGACAAGGTAATGTTGCTGTTGGCAAAATCTCTCATTTCTGCGATAGTGTGAAATTGCAGTTTGTTGTCAGTGTTAGCTAATGTTACACCCATGGTTTTAACTCCTTTGCTAAGGAGGAAATTAATTTTTTGTCATTTTCTTCTGAAAATTACTTGCTGTTACAGCTGTATTAACATGATCTTTCTTCTGTGTATCATAGATATTGACAGCATCAAGTCACAATACAGTTCATCAGTGTTAGACAGAATGACCTGCAAACCTAAGAAAAGTCTTGAAGAAATTCTTCCAAATGCACCACCAGATGGAATTGATCTGTTGAAAAAACTACTTCAGTTTAACCCTGACAAGCGACTGACAGCAGAGCAGGCTTTAAGTCATCCATATGTAGCAAGATTTCACAACCCTGAAGAAGAACCATCAATGGACTATGATGTGATTCCTGCCCTGAATGACGATGTTCAGTTAAGTGTGGAGGAGTATCGTGTTAAACTTTATGAGGTTGGTTTGAGGCTTAATTTCAGCTTGAGTGTCACGAAAGAGTCTAGTTTTGAGGCGGGATTGTTTAAAAAGAGACTGTAGTTATTTTAATAGCTTTGGACTTTTCAGTTGAAATTTTTTGTGGTAAATTTTGTGACACATCTTAGATGGTATACTCATTATTAACCTCTCTTTATTGTTTTTTTGGCAGAGTATCATTCAGAAGAAAACCACCATCAGAAGAAAAAGAAGGGAGATTTTTCTTCAGGATCAGAAGCAGAAACATGCACAGGCTGCTGAGCAAGCAAGGCAGCAGGAGAGGGAGTCTCAGCCCCTCAAACAAGTTGAAAACTACACTCATACTTCAAGCATCACTCAAGCACACCAACCCACACACAGCTCACCAGTCAAATCACCTGTTCATAGGAGTGAGGGAGTGACTGTAGCTTTTGGAAGAACTACCAAGATACAGCACCAAAGATCACCTTCTGCTGGAAAGAGCATGGTGAGAAGGCACAGCTTAGAAAATGACAGTGTAAGCACAGTTCAGTTGTCTAGTCAGCTTTTACTCTTTCCTTAACCTTCATCTCTCTTAATTATTATGTTGTATACCTTCAAATCACAGAAGATTTGTTTCCTGTCCTTATAGGTTATGTCCCCACCGAGGCAAAACCCAGCAGGACGTGCAAGGCCCATATCTGCACAAGTGAAGCCCAAGAACACCATAATCACACGTAGTAATAGTGCTGACAAACTTCTACAAGTGACAAGTGCTCGCCTCGTAAGTTTTCAACTGATCTAACTCCTTATTCTCAAATCTAATTACCTTGCATGCTAGTCTTGAGTACATGTTTTTCTATTTAACACAGTGTCCTGTATAAAGTATTTTACTTGTATCACTTGTTCACTTGAAGATAATGTAGTCCCATCTGTTCATTCATTGAGTGAGTTGAAGGGTTAGATTAATCAAAGCAGGAGTTGTTGTAAGAATGAGGCTATTCCCTTCTTTCTGTTTTATTTGCTTGTTTTCATTTTTACCTCTTATTTTTTAATTTGTGATATATATTAGTTTTCCAGTCTTCTTCCTCATTAGTTACCCATATTGGTATGGATAGGAACTTGATCTTGTTGCACTCTTTAATGGTCCTTTAACCTACTATATATGTGTAACTTGAATTTCATAAGTAACCTCCTTGTTTGGTTCTTAGGTTCCAGCTCAAAGACCTCCTTCAGCTAAAGCAATACACAGACCAGCCAGGAAACCTGTCCCCAATCCAAATCTGAGTCGATCCCCTTTTGAAAGTTATGCACAAACACATGGAACAATATCAAAAAGTTCACTAAAATCTCTACAATCCAGAGTTTGGTAAATTTATTATCTATAGGCTCTTTTATAATTGAACCGTTTTATTGCTTGAAATTTCTCAATTGCTTTCCTGAGGTTATCCACAGGGAACTTTGTACTTAATTAATTTATTCAGTATGTAAGTGTAATAAAGATATAAATCAATTTATGCAGACTTTGAATTTTGCTTAGCTTCTTTTTGCCACAGTTTTATATGTTGGGAAAGTACTACTTTAACAATTTTTATTTAAAAATTATTGAGTTAGTCAAATTGTAAATAAATTATATCAGCAGCCAAATGATTGTAAAAATTATTGTAAATCTCTTAATTACCTGCTAAATTGAAAAGTGATCACATCAAAGCATTTTTTCTTATCAGCAGTTCAGAGTATTATTTTGCCATATGTAGTACAATTAAAGGAAACATCTTTTCCACCCAATATTTAAATTTTGAGTTTATTTGCAAGATTTTGTAGATGATAGTATTGAAAATTGAGTTAGGAAACTGTGATATTTCAAAGAACAATTGTTGTTTTGAGAAGTATTTCTATAATATGATGCTTACATGTCAGGGTAACTTTAAATAATACATTAAATTAAGGCTACAACTCAGAAACAAATGCTCATACTAAGGAAGAGTTCAATAAACTGTCATTCTCTCTACATTTTGATTCTCTTTACATTATATTGGCCACAACTGAATTCAGCTAATTTCCTTGAAATTTCTGTGAATAGTAAGTTATATTTTGGAAGAGGAAATATGGTAGATTTGTACATATTGCTTCTGTTGCATATTTTTGTCTCTTGTATAACTATGGAAAAAGTTGAGGATTTATTGTCAACTGTGGATTTGTCAAAAATAAACTTTCAAAGCCTAGTGTTGCCTACCTAGTAGTTTGTCAATTGATTCTTGATTCCACCTGCTAAAAATTGCAGGAAGAGAAATAAGTTTCATGTTGGTAATGAATTACAGTACTCATCACCAAAGTAATTTTCCTGCCTGCACTAAAAAGTTCGAGATACCCCCAAAAAAGGTCTGGGAATGACCCTGGAGTTCCTATGATCAATATAACAACTAATTAGGTTCCAAGAGGGGTTTTTCCAGAACAATCTGTCGTGTCTTGTAGAGAGTACAAAATGCTGTGTTGTATGCAATTGTCTGAGTCAGCCTCTGAGTTTGAGGGCTGAGAAAGTAGTTGTGAATATAGAAATGATAATTCATTTTCTGTACAAAAGTGACCAATGTTACCTGGGCCCTGAAAAGCTGTGCTCCCAAGCTTAGTATCAATAATTGTTCTATTATAGTATTCTGTACCTCAAAACATTCCCTGAATAGAGGATATCAGCCTACTCTGCTGAATGTTGTTGAGACAAAAAGTAGATGGAAGAATTTTGTGAACCCAAATCATATCAATACAAAATCAAACGGCAAAATTACAGAAGCATCTTTTATTGTCTTAAGGCACTAAATTAATTACGTTTGCTCCTACACAGAAACAAGAGTTCTGAGCGTAGTAACGTACAAACATACGAGAGGTATAATGAACTTCATCAACAGGAAACACCGACATTTTGCATGTAAAGATCTCAAACAGATTGTAAACAGAAAACTATGGAGGTTTATGAAAAGAAGGAGGAAAAATTTCATCTGCCAAACTGCTTAATTTAACACTGATAACTCGCAGGATTTAAGCCTTAGTGTAGGATAGACTGCATTTCTGGAGTCCCCAGACTGCTTTGGACAACTTTAAAAATCTCTCCAGTCTTTCAAGAGACACTGACCGTAGTGCACTAGATAATAATGTAACTGACTAAAACTTGCCGTAAAATTGAAAAAGAGAGAGAAAAATGGAAGCTTTTGATGTCCTCAACTGGCTTTTGACAACAAAATTCTTCAAGCTAAAGACTTGATCACTTAATTTTTTCGCTCTTTGAGCAGTTTGCTCATTAAGTACTTTTCATCGTCAGTACCCTTTTTAAAATTTCCCGTTATTTAGATGGGCTATTAAGATTACTTAAGTAAAGTTTTACAACGCTAATTAGAAAAATCTTTAAAAATCCTAAAACCTAAATTCCCAAAAACTTTCTTTACAGCCACCTAAACAGTCATTTTAAGCTTAGCTATGAATAATCTTTCTTTCTTTTGTCTATTTTGCTGCACTGCTTAGTTTTGAGAATTGTTTCAACTTCTTTGCTGGAACACAATCTCGAAGGGGTTTCAGAACAGTTTGTGCACTTTTCAAAATAAGCCAATTTTTTAAGTCCATCATTTGAGATAAATGTTTATCTTCTCCATCCTTAAGTGTGCTCATTCCGTTTTGGTTTTTCTACCCTTTCACGTGTTTGTCCATCTAAGCAAAAAATTACTTTCACGTTTATTTGCATGAAACGAAATTTGGTGTCGTGTCACAACACTTGATAAGACCCCTTGTATATTTAGAGCTTCGCACAATCTCTTATTCTTTTGAAAAGAAAACCTCACTGTCTTCTTTCACTCTTAATAAAGACGGATCTTGGAAAAAGGGAGTTTAGAATGTCACAACGGCAAGGCCTGGGAAAATGTTGATTGAAATAAATATTTAATTTCTCCTGAGAATTTTGAGAGTAGCTTGCCTTCTACGACGGCGTCAGACCTTCCATTCAGAATAGCATGTGAATGTAGGGTTGAGTTTAAAGGAAAAACGTGAATACTTTACTGTCGGAGTTCCCATTTCAGAGTGCGCAAAATTTGGCGATTTAACGCTGTTGCCTTGGAGAGAAGGACTTGAAAATGTATAACGTTTTAAGACGCAGGGTCAAAGTTATTGTTCTGCTCATTAAACCTTTCGTTTCGCTACGTTCTCGTTGCAGTCGTGGTTTTCTTTAAACTCCTTACTGAGAGTTAATGAAGAAATCTACAGCGGCTCTCATTCGTATCAAGGTTAAATCAAGTCTTCTGTGCATTTTTATAAAATACACAGGGCGATAAGTAGATTACGTAAGAACATTCAAAATGGGAAAAAACAATTAGTTTTCATTAAATTTCCCATAATACTCAGACCCCCTTCCCGGAAAAAATTAATGTCGCACATTGACACAGAAGAATGTCATCGAAAAAAGTAATTCAACGAGCTTAAAGCACACAAACAAATAATGGGTACGCTAATATTATTCCTTTCATAATTTGTGTGATACCAGGGGAATTTAAAAATAAAATTTCTATGTCGATATATTTACAGCATTTTTGATAATTTACATTTGCGTAAGAGTTCATCCCATAAAAGTTTCAATAGAAAAATTGTCTTTAAATTAGTTTTGTTCCTGTGCAGAATATTTTTTAGGGTTTTACTGTAAGATGCAAAGTTTTTTCACGTCGTTTTCATATTCCTCGTCGTCACTTGCAGAATCTGGTGTTTGGCCACTGAAGTTAGGAAGAAACGCTCGTTCGTCCATGCCGTCTTGCTGATAGAACAGCATGTAGGGTGAGTCTTTTTGTAGCTTGGTGCTGTCACACTCCTGGAAAAACAGATAACTATCTCATTGGTCATGGTAAAAACAAGGAAGTCGATTTTTCTGAATTCACACACGTTCACTAATTTTTCATTTGCGTGCCTCTTAAACTCTCAAATATCTTTCCACCTTTTGAGTCAACAGAAAGCAGAGAGCAAAAAATCCTAAAATTTTACGCACGCCACTTCTGTTTTCTTATTAGACTTATTCCTTTTTTCTGTTCTTTTTTCTTCTTCCACCCACCCCGCCCCCACAAGTATTTATATATGAACTAACCTTGCAACTACTGTCGTTGTAGCAGTACCATCTTTTATTTGGGTTGTGCGCGTATGAAATGTAGTGCCCTCCTCCCAGTACTCCAGTGTGACACTGACGATTACAAAGCATATTGAATGTTCACGAGAGGCGTTCCAGACCAATATGACGTGTTTGACACGTACCAAACGTACTACCAATGGGTTTCTCATATAAACGTATTAAATATTTAAGATATACACTTGATTTGTTCATGTTGTATGTGGTCAGATTCAACACTTTTTTTTTTTAAATAAAAGAAACCTTTTTATAAGAACGTTCAGGATGAGATTAACCAAACTTTTCAGAACATACTAAGAACCTACCCAGGCCGAAAGTCAGTTAAGAGGGACAAAGAAATATAAAACAGTGGTCCAACAGGAGAATTAATTCAAATACTTAGGGACATTTTTGATATTGATTTATCTGACTGGCTTGAGAGTTCACGAATGAATAAGACATACCGACATAGCATAAATACGATAGGTTGGTGTCTCTGTCTGTGAACCTTCACTCCTTAACGCTGCCATGCTGCCACTTTCACTTCTACGTTCATCTACAGAATTTAGCTCCGTGACGTCAGAGATCGTAGCATTTACGGTGGCATCGCCAACAGGCTTCATTTCCAGCATCCCCTCAGGGTGGACTTTAGCTGAGTTGAGGCTTATACAAGAGGACTGGCGCGAAGGAGGTTTGCTGGTCTGGTTTAGTTCCACCTGACTGGAACTCAGTTCACCAGATGAACTCTGGGAAGACGACTCCTGTTGGGATATACTTCATTTAGTAATCCTTAGTTAAGTTTGTGTCACTTTTAAAAGGAAGTAAAGTGTATGACCTGAAAGAATATTAATGCAATAAAATATGGGTAAGATTCTACGGAAAGAGTTCAGAGCCCTCCTCAAAGTGTAAGCAGCTATGAAACGTGTGCACACCTTACTACCAGATGCAAAATTTGTTTCAAAGTTGTTGTTATAAGTATGAAAGATGGTCGGTGGAAGATTAGGATCACTTTTTATGTCATATCATTAAATACACCATATCAACAAAACAAAGTATGTGATCAAGACTGAGTGCAATCCTTTCAGTGTAACCTGAATATCATTTCCATGCTGACACCAGAACCACCTAGTACACAAGCGTGCAAAATAGCCTCACCTCGCTACCCTTGCGGGACGCTTCCTCTTTCTTGTCTCCAGGCTCCTCCTCGGGTTCAGGTTCCTCGCTGCTCTTGACATTTACTGTGGTGACTCCACCTGACTCTGAGTTCCCTGCACTATTTGGGCGAAAAAATCGCTTGGCCAGGAAGGCTGAAGGATCGAAACCTTCCATGGGAAACTGCACAACTTTATTAGACTTTACCCAGTGGCCATTTACGAACTGAAACCGCTTCAAGTGAATAATCTACAAAGCAAAAAGAAGACGGCACAAGTGGACAGTAGTTATAAGATACATGCAGCTAGGATCAGCTACTTCAACGCCTTCCAGCACATATATAGAAAAGTACACCTCGTCCCAGAGTTAGAAAAAAAACACTTAAGCATTAAGTAGATTTTTTTCCTCAGCGAGTTAAAAAGCTTATTACCAACATCAGAATAATCTCACCAGTTTGGACTTCTGCACAAAAGAATCAGAGCAGAACTAAATTCTTACCAAAATTGGGGGGAGACTCCAGATATCAAGTTTCTTCACTGCTAATCTGTGTTTCTTACACTTGTTGCAATACCTAAGATTTAGATATAGTTTTGAATAAGTGGTTTTCATAGCAAGGGATGTGAACGAGGATGTGTTGTAGCATGCTTTACTAGTGAGAGTAACCAGTGAAAGTAACTGGAGTTTTGACAAACTGATCAGAACTTCTTAGTACAGTCAAGTGGAGAGCTGATAGTTAGTCAAGTGTGTTAAATCTGATTCGTGATTGGTCATCCGTGATGGCATTGAGTGTTAGACTCAAGCAGTGTTGCTTACTTGTGATACTCACTTCAAGACGCCATGGTAAATTACTCCACATCACGCACAGCTTACTAAATCTTTGCTTCTTTCAGCCCAGGAATCCTTACAACAAAATAGCTATTTGTTGATGTTGTTGAGACAATTACTCTAAATCAAAATTTCAGAGACATGTACATACCACAGCTCATCTTCCCCTAACTCCTCTTCTTTAGTGAACGCTCTGAAACATTCATACAAGTCAATAGGTTCTGTCTGCAGTTTCCTGCTTCTCTCCACACTCTCGTGTTCTGTTGACACTTTTTCCTGTGAGCTCTGGTATCTGAGATGCAGTGTAGTTGGATCCCACTCTATAGCTATGTATGAACTGCTACTGCCAAACTCCTGCTCACTGCACTTAATGACACAGCCATGGCAGAACCTACAGTTAGCAAAGACACAAGATTGTTTAATCATACCTTACACACACAAGTTAAATAATTAAAGAGGACGCATTGATTCTCTGTGACTCTGAGTTTTGTGCCAAAGGGCTCGTCAGACAGAAAGTTGTCTGATGAGCGCTTAGGCGCGAAACTCAGAGTCACAGAGAATCGATGCATCCTCTTTAATTCTTTAACTTATGTATACTTAGCTCTGCTACCACAGCATCGAGCACTTTATGCCAAGGTAGACTCTACGTTGTACACTGCCTACTTATTAACAAATTTTATTGTACTGGGAGGTGGTGGAAGCCTAGTGCTTTGCTCAGTGCCTTTCTTGCTTCCCAGGCACATTAAGCCGCACTAAAACATACAGTGGTACAATAAAGTAAGAGTGCTCACCTGTACCATGGACACCATGCACACATGAGGCCGTCCTTCTGAACTGCCCGCAGCTCAAACGGATAGTCCCCTGCATCACTATATACAAATACAAAAAGATCAAATTGGTTTTCTTAATTTAGAAAACACCTTATTGGATCAGGAGCGAACACAAACTTACCCATCCTTACAGTTTGTGTCTCCTGGTGCTGGTGGGCTTAGTAGCCTGGCCACTTGAGTCCAGACTCCCTCATACAACTCACACTGTCTTGTTTTAGATGAGCATGGTATGATGACAGGGATTCCAAACAAACCAGGGCGATTCTTTTGTGGTGAAAGGAAATATGCATCTAAACGAATCTAAATAAAGAAAAGAGTGCTTGAGCGGATTGAGGTGCACATGTCATTTTGTGCTTCAATTATATCACAATCTTTTGTTTCTTATGCTCATGACTAGCCTTTCACCCTAAGTTATTTTAAATTGTGGCCCTGAGCGCAGAGATAGAACAGTTTTAGTACACTCACATCACTCCAAAACGTTTTTCCAGCATTTAACTTCGTGAAAAATTGAAGCAGAATATCTATACAACCTTGCAAACAAATTGTGTCAAATGAAATTTAATACTAGAAAAAAAACTGCAAATACTGATCAGCATATGATTCAGAAACAACAAACTAAACAACATATAACTTACTATTTTCCTGTGCATTGCAACAACAAATCCACTAAAACAATAGCCCAAATATGGTGCAGGTCCTGTTGTAGGTGTTGACGAAACACTTGAATGTCCAGAAGCAGCATTAACATTAACAGGTGAAGAAAGAGTTTGGTGACTTGGAGAATTTTCCACACTTAAACTGATGCCAGAATCAGAATTAGTATTAAAATGTCCTTCAGCTAATTCTGTTGAAGATGATGATGAAGACGACTTCCTCAATGTTGTAGTCAAACTAAATCCCGCCCCAAACTTAGGGCTAATTTTCTTTCGCAGTTTTGGACTCAATCTCCTAATTGGACTAGAAGAACCTTTCTTCTTGTTCTTTTTTCCATCTGCAAACCAATCTTCTTGGACGCGAAGCCGGGTTTCGCTTTCCTCCGAGCCGTTTTCAGAATTTGTTCCAGAAGATTTGCTTCCTTTCCTCTCAGTTCTATCACTGTTTGAAACAGTGTTGAAAATGGTTCCATCTGTTTGACAGTTTTTATCCTTATTTGTAGTACAAAATTCTCGCTCCTCAGACTCTACAACAGATGAATTACATATAACCTTGTCCTCCTCTGAAGGATTGGGTCCCACACAATCATTTTCACAGGAGATTGTAGGAGGTGGAATCTCATAAGCATAGAGTATCCCAGCTAACGCTGTACGAATCTTCTGTACATCTGATGGGAGACTCTGTTGAGCAGGAAAAATTTACTGTTATCTTGAACCTCAAGCTGAATCTACTCTTACTGTATCTACAAATTATTCTTTACACAGTTCAATAGTGGTCCCAGCCAAAACTCAAACAAAGAATTACTTTTATCTTGAGTGTATAAAAAAGGAACCAGCTGCAATAGAATTTTGAAATCTTGAACTTGTTAAATTTTGGATGTCCAGGATAAAAGAAGAGCAAGATCCTGACACAAGTTAACTGCACCAAGCCTCTCCTAGAGGAAGGTTGTGTAAATACAGCCAAGATCCTCAAAAAGAAAAAAAATAGGTATTGTGGATTTCAACTGATGAAGAATTCTGCAAAGAGTAGCTTGAGTCTTCTCACTGGCATGTTAAGTAGGAGGACACAAAAAGGTGCAATTTCTGCATCAACTGGAAAATAACCAAAGCAGTGTTTCATCCTACCTACCTTAACAGATGCCCCAAATATCTCAACCAGGAGAACCTGTGAGCACACCAGCCCACAGTATTTTGACAGTTCTCTTTTCACATCCTTGTATCTGTCATCATTATTCAACAGCAATCCATACTTTGTAGGGGTTTTCCCCTCCAGTCGAACAACTACACAATAGAAATTCAACAGAATTATCAGTCAGCTGCTGCCCAGCATCAGTAGTAGTGACATGTTAGAATGCTAGTTACTCTTGGAAATACAGGGTTTTGTACCATCCCAAATTTATAAACTATGAGCATCTTCATGACTTTTTCTAGGTTCTTTTTTAAGCTTTCCTTGACCAAAAATCAAGAGTCAACTTCACTCGACATAATTTGAAAACCATTGATCACCCAAAGTATTTCTTGCTCTTCTGTTATCAGACAACTACATTTTATTATTTCCCATGACTTTTCCCTGCAAAAGCTGAAGTTTCACAAGTTATTTAAGTTACAGCACAAGCAGAAAACTTGGGAGCACACTAGTAAGGGGCCTTACTGGATAATGTCTGCTTGTGCTGCAACACCTGTGACAGCCAATTGGAAGATTATTGGCAAACTTACCTATAACTTCAACATATATTGAGTTGTCCATAGGGAGAGGCAAGGAGAGGAAAGTGAATGGGTCAAACCTAACACTGACATAGCCACACTCCAAACACCTGACTTGAGACTTGAGCTGCAAATTAACCACTTACAATCACTGATGTGACTCTCATAATTACTGATCTGATACAAAACTAAAATATTTCATATTTAAAGAGAGTTCAAAATCACACTTTGAGGCAATATGTAAAGCAGTTCTACAAGCAAAAAAGGGGAAATCACAATAGAGAGAAATGATTGAATTTTTACTTGGCCTTGAAACAGGTCCACCACAACTGATTGATTCCTCTTTAGATGATTATCCCATGCCTGAAAAAGTAACAAATCAAAATCAATATTCTGTACATAAGTACATATAATTAACACAAAGGGATTAACTTTGTTCATTAAAACAAAAAGGAAAAATGCATCTTCATACATTAGTTTGTCCAAAAATATCCATGAAACCATTCCACCTATAGTCATACGACATGTCCCCTTTGAATATCATAGAGGCCGTATCATTGCCAGTGCAACTTAACAAAACAGAGTCATAAGTTTGGTGCTCCCTCTTTGTACCTAATAGTTTTAACCTTTATTGCAGACAATGGCATGGATGGCCCATACAATTTTAGCATAAGAAAAGGATTGTTAATAGTGTAAGGAAAAAAAAATTATTGTTCAGATACCTCATGTGCTACTTCCTCATCTGGTCGACCATCACTGTCCTTAAGTTCAACATATGGTTTGAGCTGAACTCTATGGGAAAAAAAATCACTATTCAGTCTCCCCAGTGACATGTTATGACTGTCCAGGCACACAACACATTGACAATCTGTGAGAGTAACTTACTGGGAATTTTTTAATGCTACACAATCTCCTCAAAAAAAGTTTATATTTGCTGACAACACAAACACACCTGTTTAAGTCCTCATGTAAACCATCCAAGAGGAAAGACAAGAATTCCTTCCAAAGAAAAGCAAAAAATAGATATCAGAAAAGAAGACATAATGCAATTTAGTTTTTCCAATCAACATTATATAAAATTAACACTGCTAGATGACCTATTAAAAAGAACTACTGCATAAATTTCAAGGAGAACAATGATTTCACAATACAAGCTAAGATTAGAAGTGTAGTACAGGGGTTAACAATCAATAGTAGATGTAGCATCCTTGTATGCTGTAGAACTCCTTGGCAAAGTTCAGTGTCACCCATATATATTTTTTTAAAACTGATGTGAAAGGGAAGTTAAATGAATAGCTGCTGAAATTGCATTCTTTTCAGTGATCAGTTGCCTATCATCAAACCAAACATCATTGTAAATAGGATGTCTATGACAATATGAATATTCTGTATTTCCAAAATGCCTCTCCTCTGACCTGGGAGTCATGCTGCTGAAATCCATTAAATCTTGGAGCATACCTTCCTATTGTCCACTATGAGATAAATGATATGTATCAAGTTTTGATTAATCTGAAACTCAGTTAATTAACAATTAAAAGTAACAGAAAAAAATCCACAAAATAATACAGTTCTATTGATCCATATACTTACCCTGAGTTTCAGTGGAGCAAGGCTGCGGGAGCTGCCACTCCACAAATCTTGAGTAAGGTCTCCATACCGACGTGCAATGTGCCCTTTCATACCAAGAGGGTTGGTCCTATAAAAACACAATTTAAATATAAGATAGAATTTTCAAAATCAACACAAAAAGAAAAATAAACATGATGCAATGTGGTTTGATCCATTTTCCCCAGGAGAAATTTACCTACACAGCAGAATTTTAGTTCAATTCAATCTTCAAATGTCCAAATCTGATTACCAATTACCTCCAGACACTTCCCTCTGCATAAGTTAAGGTAATTTATTGTTGTATCAAGTCAACACCCTCCCGCTAAATAGTTTTTCTCTTGTAAGAAGAGCTTACACTTCAGTGTAAAGTAAAAGTTAAAATTGCTCTCTTAGATTCTTTAGGAAAGTACATACCTATTAAGTTCATATAAGTGGCACTTAGTTGTGAAGTACTGTGTCAGGGGTTGGGTATTACTGAGACACTGCAGTGCAGAGTTCATAAAGCAGGTGTTACCCAAGTTACTGAGGCCTGTGGCTCCTTTTTCTGTTGGTTCTGATGGGACAAATGTTAAAACAGATTCAGTGCTTGCCAAAGAAAACAAAATATACAACATGTACGTTAATGCCAAGTGTGCTGTCTCAAAGAAGACCTATATTGCCGACTTTGCATATTTAAAAGATCTGCAAAACCCTCTTCTGTCCAAAGTCACTTTTTCCACCACAGATAACCATTTGTGAAAATAATAGGAAAAATTTAGACACCCCTTAAATGCAACATTGATCTCCCTGAGACTTTTTCAACTGCATGTAAATACCTACCTAAATTGAGTTTCTCCCTAAGACTTCTGTTGTTTGCCAAGGAGGACATCTCTTCTGGCCAACTCATATCTCTGTTTCGAACTAGAATAATAATAATAACAATAATAATAATAATAATAATAATAATAATAATAATAATAATAATAATAATAATAATAATAATAATAATAATAAATAAATACAAATTAACTCAAGTCTCACTCCAGATCCTTGCAGGGGTGGAGTCCAGTTTGGGATCTACCTAAGCAGGCCTGTGCTTAGTATGAGACTTTCATAATCAGCAATTGCAAGAACAAGCAGTGGAGAAATCAAAAAAGGGGATACCTGTGTTTGTCACATGGACCTGTGTTGATCAAGAAAGATGACTATTGAGAGGGAAAACGGAACATCACAACTAATTCCTTTGACACTATTACCGGTTTATTTGAGAACATGTCATCTATTTTCCATAACTCTTTCAAACAATTAGACTGCTGCTATGACAAACCTTCAATAAGAACAGCATGGTTGTCAGTGATTCCTAACTTCTCCAAAGAAGAATTGTCTTCTTCTAAAAGCCGTAGTTTATTCTGTGCAAACAATAAAAAAGTAATTCTGTCAATGAATTGAAGTAACTTAATATAGAAAGAAAAGCCTATAAAAATAACTTAAATCACACTGTTCATTTCACAAAGTGGATACTGACATTCTGGATACAAATTATCTTGCAGGTCTGACATAACATTCACTGAATTACTGTCATGTTTATGACAATGTTGTCTTTTTCCCCCCAAAACAACATATTTGTCATTTAAATTGCCAGATATAATATTCCAAGAGAAAAATAAATCTCTCTAATTTCTCAGGACAAGGCACAGATGTTAACTGCATAACAAGTTAAACAATTGACCAGAAAATAATTCCATAAGTAAATGAAACGCTCAATCAGTTGTTCAGTTGATCATTTAGACAGGCATTTACTTAGTTGATGAACAATTCCACTTCATATATACCTCATCTTCCAAACTCCAGAGTCTCATATCTTCTATGCGGAGTCTGAGTCGTGCACAGAGATAGTCATACACCTGAAAGTAATAAATACCAAACCAAATAATCTACAGGTGAATGACAGTAACACAAGTGGTGTGTAATAGATGAGTGATGTACAAGTGTGAAATATGCTAAATTATGTGAAATTTAAATGATGCATGGATAGGACAAACACACATTCATGGGTCTGAATGTTTTTTTTACAGCCAGACAATCCTCCATACACCAATCATCATCATACATCACAAGCACAATAGCCAGGGGGTAAAATATTGCCTCAGATCTTGTTCTGTTTGGTGCCTTTGACATCAACTACTAGGTACCACTTACATAAACACCAGAAAATACCACTACTTCCCAGTCAAAAGACAACTAACCTGTTGTAATGTGTTCATCCGACTAAAAGATGCCACATATGCCAGGTACCTTTTGGGTGGGGCATGAGGGGTGGTAAGAGAACTGGTACCAAAACCAAACGTACTTAATCCAAATCCAACCCCAGTCCATGTTGTAATTCCACCTCTTGTAGGGGGAGGGGCATGTCGAAACAGTCGCAGACTTATTGGGTATAGCTCTAATTCTGGGGTTGGATCACCATTTGTAGGAGTTATGACCTGTTTAACAAGCAGACCATTTATGATAGCATGGTAAAAAAGTGTATATTAGCCATAACTGAACTGTGTTATGCACAACAAGTATAAAAAAGAAAAAAATCCACTAATCCTCCTCCTGTTAATATTTATCCTGATTTTTGATGAGTAATAAAGAAGCACTATTACATACAGTAGAATGCAGCATCAATCTACAATTTTTTGTGGGATCATATAAATTATGTAAGTGTACAGTGAAAAAGGACACAAACTTGTGCGTTAAAAAATTAAATTCATTGGCTAATTACAAAAATATGAGTTCTTTATGGTTGCAAAATGCAGACAAGTGATACAGTACCAAATAAGTAAGATTGTTGAGTGACACCACAATCAAGAAGACAACTAATAATATAATTTAAGTAACAATAGAGTTACCGTTCTTGGGAGAGCTGGTCCACCTCCATACCACTGCTGAAGAGCTCTCCAAACAGGTTCTGGTATGATCTCAAAGTCCCTTCCTCTGCATAAAGGAATGTTACGCTTCAACTTTCCTCCTTCGCCGGTTAAAATCATGACCTAGAGCAACAGATGTACTCTTGTAACTAAATCATTCTTTGAATTAATGATTACACTGTCGTCTACTCCTGTTAAGAACAATATCATTACACATAAAGATTCTTCACATTACAGTATTGTGCAAAAGTAATGCAAACGGAATTCGGCGAATTTCGTTATTTGTTCTAACGATCTTTCGTCGAAAGTTCGAGCGAAAATTCGATCGAAAGTTCGAGGCCTCTTAAGCGACATTTCGTTTGAACAAAGGGCGCTTTTTCGTTGAATTTTCGCCTCAAAGCGAAACTTCGCGGCGGAAAGTGTCTCTTCGATCATTAGTGTTCGAAATTTCGCTTCGAACTGACAATAGACTTTCGCGAGTAATCAAGTTTGTTTACTACTCATGTAAGCAACACGAAATATACATATAAACGTATTTCCAGTCTTTTTCAGTCACTGGGACAGAGACACTTCATATTTGAGGCTAAACACAGTAGACAAAAGGTCAAATTATCGAAAAGCATCACGCCCGATTCTGGGCTCGATTTGTGTTTGACAACGAAAGTAAATCGGAAAAATTGTCCCAAGCGTCACATCAACTTCAGTTTACTGACGTTTAAAGAGGCCTAAACCATCATATCCAATTCAGAGTTCGATCAGTTTACAGCAATGAAAGTAAATCGGGATGATTAGCAATTCCGATCAAGAGACATGTATTTCATGGAAATAAACTCTCAAATGATTGCAATAGTTTTTAAAATTAACCTAAGTACAACGCTTTTTAAAAGCAAGTGCGGCGATACGCCTGAAGGGAAATCGAACACTCGTCGCTAAAAATCACGTTGTTGAAAGTGTCACCACTTTCTAGGGCGCGTTGTGCGAACTCTAATCGCTTGACTTTATTTGCGTCACGGATTAGCTGGCAGTAGGCGGTCCGCTGCAAAGTCCAACCTTGCTGTTTGCGTGCTCTACGAACAGTGGACGCACTCACGCAGATTCCATGTCTCTCCAGCTTCTTCTTTATCGTATTGCTGGTCGTCTCGTCATCCCAGCGCATTTGCTGATCTACGAAAGTTTTTGCTTCCGTATACAGCTTTTGAGGTCTTCCCGATCGAGGTAAATTTGCCACGGAACCGGTAAGTCGCAACTTTTTAATGATGCGCGTAATACTGGAAAAGCTCACTAGCAACCCTTCGTGTTTCAACGCTTTCAGTATTTCAGCTGGGTGGAGGCCTTGCTTGTGAAGGATCTCGATTCTATTTCTAGAATAATTTGAAACTTTTGCCATGATTACTATCAAAATTAGAGTACATAAATGATCCCAAACGCATCGACACAATTAATATACCGAGTGTTGCCATGGTTGTAAACAATATAGGGCGCGCGGAGACTGGAATCGTAGCGGGAAATTTTATGGGAGTATTACATAGAATAGTAACCAACCACAAATTCAACCAAATCTTTTTGAGAAGAATGAACAATACAACGAATTTTCGCCCCGAAAATTCGCCACATAGAACGAATTTTCGAGTCGCATTTACGCCATCAAGGAATTTGTCGCCGAAAGTTCGAGCCGTTCAAAACAATACATGCCTCGAAAATTCGCGGAAATGTCGTCGAAGTTTCGTTTCGGTCAAGAATTCGTCGAAAAGCCAGGAATTTCGCCGAATTTCGTCGACAGGTGTTTGCATTACTTTTACACAATACTGTAGTTTAATCAGAGGCTAATCAGTTGAATTCAACATGTTTAAGAAGTTTGTTAGCAAGATTTTTCCTCATTCAATTCTTGACATAGTTAAGCACCCCAAAACAGTTTTTTTCAGATAATGCTACCTAAAAGAGTACATCTATTTAGCCTTGGATAAACAATTCACCACCTTATCATGTGTGTGGCTTAATTTTAAAAGAAAAAAGCTTACAGCACCAAATAAAAGATGTCAAAGCTCACCTTTCTTGTATCAGGTTCTACAAGTGGGACATTATCAACAGGACCAGGCACTTGTGTACCTAATGCTACTGCTCCTTGTGAACAGTGACCATTCATTGTCCCAGTTGGACTTACTGCCTTACTAATCTGGTTGTACATTGGATGAGATTCACGCCGTCCCAACGATCTTGTTTTTAAAGCAGAGTCACCACTCCAAGCTTGTCCTTGGTTGCCAGAGGAGGCATTATGAACTTGGTTTATTCTTGCTGGCAATGTACCATTCTTGCGAAGATTCCCTGTAGATGACCGTCTGATGTAAGGCTACAAAATGACAATAAAAGTGGTATGCAGATATTATGTGGAACTTAATCTAACCAAATATTCTAGAAAACAAGCTGACCATCTGGATGGTCATTTGAAGGTTTAACTACCACTCCTTGAGGAGGACTCCTCTAGAAACAAAAGAAACAATGGCTAAACTGAACACAGCAATGTCTACAATGGGTAATTTTCAAACATGGGATTTTAATAAGGTGACCTCCATCAAGCTGTCTGCTCACAAGTTTTGATTAAAAGACCTTTGATTGTATTGTTAGTTGGGTATAATTTACAGAATACATTAACAAACCTGATAACTGACATACTCTTTCCATATGCGCCACCAAGAAATAGCCACAAGATACCAAATGGTACCAGGATTGAGGTCATGCTGGTACTCACGCTCAAGCCAACCTCTGTAAAAACAATAACAGAACCCTTTGAATAACCAGTATTATAGAAATAATTTTTAAAGAACTGAATTACTCAAGAAAGACATGTAAAAAAGTGGAAAAACATTTCTATCTCAAAACAGTGGCACAAACCTCACAACTTGAAGTTCTACTTCTCTAGTGATTGGTCTAAGCCCCAAAACAATGTGACATACCTACAAAACATAATATACAAATCAAATTGTAAGGCAGTCAACTTGCACAAACAAGCTGCTGTTGTGAGAATCAACATACCACAACATCTTGGACACCCAAACATTACCATACAAGAAGGTAAGATCACATATAATAACTTTACAAACATTACTGACCTGGACCAATAACTTGGGAAACAGATGGGAAAATCTATGTGTAGATGCCCACTCCTTATACTCTTCTAAGCTAATTTGACCATCCTAATCACAGACAGAAAATTGTTTAGTCCCAAATATATTAATCACCCCAGGGAAGATAAACACAATTAATGTTTTAAATACAAGGTACATCTAACTTTAGATATTGGTGGAACAACAAATGCAACAGAAATGTTTCTGTAGCCAAACAACATAACATCAACAGCTATATCTACTGTGTTCAGTTAAACAGGGTTTTCAGCTACAAATGTACTAAAATGCAGGAAAATAGTATAAATAGACAAAAAAAACACATGCAAAAGCTCCAGATCTTATGGAGAAAAAAGTCAAGGCATCATATTAAGCCAGAAATTTATCTATAGAAGCTGAAGAAATCTGTATATTAGCCAGAGAATTATATAATTCCTAATAAGAAACCTGGTGAGGTATCTTATATGTTCCTTTAAATGTTAGAAATAGAAATTCTGGATAAAATCAAGTCAACACCTGAAGCAAATGTGCTTTCAACAATCCTGTTGGTGGCTTACATACTTGTAACAAACAAGATCACTTTACCTCATCTTTGCTGCAATCACTCAGGATTTCAATTGCCATCAATGACACATCCTTGTCCCAGATGGCACTTGTATCCTAAGGTCCCACAAAAAATAACATTAAAGATATAACCTGAGTACTATGTTGGCCAGTTCAATATTCCACTAGTCTTGTATTACCTTTTCTCCAGCATTTTCCTTTCTGATGTCAATTAAACCCCTGCACATTATTTCAATTTCACTTCTTGACAGAAAGCCATCTCCATCAGCATCAAATACCCTAAAGCAGACTAATGGAAAAAATAAATTTGTTAACAACTTAAATACAGTTGCCTGTTTTAAAGGAGTTTTGAACTCTTAGTTCAAACAATTAAGTTACAACACTACACAAGAAGACACCATTTAGTACAAGGACGTATGATGTATGCAATCTTCATTTTTCACCAACATTGAAAGGAGTTCACTGTGGCGGATTAAAAGATTTCTCAACAAGCAATCATTTAGTTTTAATTTTTGATATTATTTTCATCTCATCTGAAGTCATGACAACATAATTGAAAAAAAAACCCACTACAAGTCACCAGATGGTTTGAGTTCTGAATGGAAAATGTACTTGAAATAATTTTAATACCTTTAAAGTTACTCACATTTTTGCCTCTCAGCATTGGATCCCCTGCAACATTTGGAAATTCCACATGCTAGCTCACGAAAATCAATGTGGCCATCTTGATTTTCATCAAAAGCATTAAACAATCCTTGGATAAGAATGTTACAAAAAAATTACACAAAATTCCATACTTTTTAGAACTTCTAAAAGGATGCAAATGATATCAGACTTCCAAAACATAAACTTTTGGTAGAATATCTAAATTTTGGGATGTTATAACGAATTCTTAGGGATACAGGAAAGGGTGTTTAAACCCAAATTTTGAGAGGAATTTATGAATTAAACTAAACTGCACTTTCCTAAAAGCTTAAGGCAATAACCAAAATTACCCCTCTGGGTAAAGATATGTCTAATTTTAGGATTAAAAAAAATTCAAAGTGCCATTGAATATTGCCAACAAGTTTTGTTCACTCACACCTGATGACTCAATGTTAGTTGTGGAAGTCTTAAACTTGGTATAATGTGGCCAGTAGTCTTTATCAAGTGTCATAACTCCTAGCACTTCTTGTTTTATCCTTGTAATATTAACCATAACATGTAGATACTGTGGTTCAATTTTATTCTAAGTTGAAATAAATTTCTTGTGCTACCAAGCCATTACCTCATAAACAACCCAAACTAACAAAAACAAATAAACCAACTGACTGCCAAAATGAGAGAAAATTAATTTGAAGGAAGAAAACAGTCCACCACAATAACTGTTAAGTTCTTAGATTCAATATGACTTTCCAGGGAAAAAAACTACTGAAATGACATTGTATCATTCCAAATAAGTAATAACACTCACGGATTCAACACAAACCTTCACATAGACACTTTGGAATGGGTGGTGATACTAGTGGTGTGAATGTATCCAGATCAAATTTTCCAGTTTTTGTTCCAGCCTTTAGTATCCAATATCTCTTCTCCAGCTCCATAATATCTGCCTCTTGTACTGAAGCAATAAATATTCAAATTTAAATTAAGAAATCATTATTTCTCTCTTCAAGGAATGAGTTATGAAAAAAAGGAATTGAAACTGCCATATTTGAAAAAATTATGGAAACTGCCTTTGAGTTGATGAATTATTTACAAGCACAGATTTTATCCTATTGAACATCTCTAGGGTGGGGTGAGTAACTTCAGGATTTCATAGAGAGTTCTCCCAACCACTCACAACTTGCAAAAACCTCCCATAAAACTCCAATACATCAACCAAATAAATCACTATTGTTAACTAGAAATCCTCATTGTATCAAACTGTAAAACTTACAGTGGGTAACACTGGCAAGTGTCTGGTAAAATGTTGGAGTCTCACTGCTATCAGTTAACTGGATACTGCAACCATTACTAACAATGAGCAACCATCTGGTAAGCGTAGTCACATCTGGATTTCTTAAAAGCCACTTTGAAAACTCCTCAAATGGTAGTCTATCAAACTGCAAAAGGAAAAAATCATTGAGTATTTTGATACTAACCTGAATAAATTTTGTGTTTATTTTGCAAGGGAAAGTGTAGAGATTGGTTACATTGAGGTAAGTGAGTTTTGTCTTAAATTGCCCAAAATATATACTGATCAGCTCTTGTTGTAGAGCACCAATCACCCACCAAAAAGAAGTGAAGAAAATCTCAATGAACCAATTTCAATTTCAGTTCACCTAAAAAAGGGGAAAAAACTTAAAAAAATACAAAGTAAACAAAAATAAACATTTGAACACTAAAGAAAAACATAGGCATGGTATGCATGCAAGAGTTATTTTTTGGGGATGGGTGAATTAATTGGAACGTTGTAAGTGATGTCTACATTTTTACAAAAGAAAAGAAGAATGTTAATGCAGAAAAGAACAAAAATGTTAAATTAACTCACACACAGATATTTTGTGGTAGATTGTGTGTGTTGTGCGACTAACTGTAACCAAAAATAAACTTTATTGGTGCCATGGATACTTGTTAGTACAAAATACAGACTGCAGACTGGATACAAAATGTAGACCAGGTGCAAAATGTAGACTGCAGACTGCAGAGTGGGTACAAAATCCAGACTGAGAATCTAAAGATTTTTTTCACCTGGTATGTGATAACATGTCATCTTACAACTTACTGAGTGTTATGCAATCGCTTTACCGCGATCAGCTTTCACAATTATTTGCACTATTGTGTAATATTCCTGGCCCATTTCTTGATCAAAATTGATCTTAATATAATTTTAAGCCTTCATATAATGTCTGTACAGATTTTACCAACATAATAAAAGTAACAAAAGTAATAAAATGTAATAACATAATTTTGATAATATATTTTTATAACCAACGTAATAAAAGTAGATGTATCATATTTACTCATGTATAAGTTGACCTTTTAGGACCAAAAAATCAGCCCAAAAAATCACCCTCAACTTATACATGAGTCATACACATAGACCTGACCCAAGCAATCCAAGGAATTAGCATAACAATTGTCTGAAGTCCATAAGGAAAACTAAGTTTATAAAACCAGTTCGAATTGTGTTCGAGTTTTATCACTTTTCAGCACATTCCTTGTCCACAAAAAAAATTTGAAATAATAAATTTTGAGTGGCTTAACACAAAGCTACTAGAACTGATTTATATTGTGTCTTCGGATTGTAGAACAGACATTTTTTCTAACAGCTTGGCTGTTGTTTACAGTGCTGAACTTTTGATTTCATTGAATGATTACAGTAACTTAGTAACCTGGCAAATGCCTTTGTCTCACATGGTCTTGCTTGTTACGTGCGATCCTTCGAAGCTATTCAGTGTTCCTTCACTTTACTCAAATTAATCTCCTTTCAAACTCAACATTAAGATAAAGGTTTGTTAAATGCAAGAAGATTTCATTTTCAATGTGATTTACAAAATATGGTAAAATACTTCTCCCATAAATCAAAGTGTCCTTGTGTGCTTAAATCGTGGTGATATAAACAAGTGCTGATAAACTTCAAAGCACTTGATTGCATTTTGCTCTGCAGTTTTTTAATTCCCCGTGCTTTCAATACATTCCAAGAAATAAGAGATTAACTTTTGGGAAATTTCTATCTGTCTGAATTTTACTTCTTTGACTACAAATGATGAAAAACCCAATTTTTTAACTTAAAAACAGGGGTCAACTTATACACAAGTAAATACAGTAGATGCAAACAAGATGTCTCTATTGAATATTTAACACATGTATGCAGTATACGAGAAACAATTGACAGCTTTGCACGTATTATCATTTTAAGTGTTTATTTTGTTGACAAAAACAGGGATCAAGACCTAAACTGTTCCTTTGACTTTATATATTTTCAATTTAGTATATTACATCATATTAACTTATCACCATAACTCATTCATTCCAGATAACAAAATCAAATAAACATGTCAGTGATGGTATCTGAATTTGTCCTTGGCCAAACACAAATGACTTCACAAGATCACTTTCTCCAGGCATCAAAAACATACACAAAATCATCCATAGTTAATTTTAATCAGACATTCATCTAGAGATAGCACTGAGCAAACCATTTTTTCAATCCAGAAAAATAAAATCAACACACTCAACAAATCATGAATCTTGCAACAAAGCTTGCCATTGAAGAACTACTCAAATCAAAATGTTTGGTGCAATTCATCAACACCTCAAGCAATAATTAATTCAAAATTTTTCCATTCACTCTTGTTTTGAAGGAACAATAACCATGATCGTGCTACAACGCACAGAACTCCATTTTCTCTTGAACAACTATCCACCATTTTCATAGCATGAGTAACACATTTACTATAGGTAATCTGATATCTTTCATCTGTCCAATAGTATCACATTTCTCATAAAGTGTGGTAAAATGCACATTAAAAACACAGAAAAGCCAACATTTCTCCTTCTAAAAGATGACTCCGTTTTACGAACTGCTCTCTCCAAATCCCTTATTGCTTAAAATCTTAACCAGCCATATTTGATATGTGGATAAAGCTAGAGAACATGTTTATCTAAGTAGTTGCACCAATATTCAGAAGAGTTTCCAGGAAGAAGAATGAATGAATGGCATTCAGTATCACAAGTAATACAACAGAAACCACTTAGATGGAATCTGTTCTATGCCATCACAATTTAATACTTCTTGAAACATTTTCTGGAAAAATAATTTCAATTAAAGACATCTTGGTAACCTCGTGGAAAGAATTTCTCAAGAAAGCTTGACCTTTGGGCTTCAGCGGACTTGGTACACTTCAAATATCAGAAGTACAAATCAAGATCTTATTGTATTTCATCCGTTAAGACACTTTTAAGGTTTTTATGTCGAACTAAAAATGGAATCCTACATCTCATGCATGAACGCTGCTAACGAAACCACTATTACCTCAGAGAAGCATTCCACGACCGGCTGAGGAATATTGCCTCCATCACAAGCAAGGATCAAACTCTCCATATTATCTTTGTACACGAACGCTCCGTCGGTTGAATAAATATTGAAAATAACTGCAAGGGAAAACAAGAGACAAAAAAACAAGACAAAAGATCACTAATCTTTGGCGGTGGATTATCAAACAGGATAAAAAGAGTAATGATTAATTCAACTGTTTGGACATCAAACATATAACAAACTTACATTTTATCTTCTCTTCGCGTGTGCCCCGGGTTAGAAGCACAAGACCACAGAGCAAATCGCGAAATGTCATTCCCTTGTTTGTACCACCAAACGCTGTGTAAATTTGCTGAAACACAAAAGGAAATGTTTTCTAGGGTTTAAGATTTAAGCTTAAGGTAAAGAAGAAATCCGATGTAAAGATGCAATTCCCTTACCTCAGCCACTTTGTTAGGTACACCATCACCAAGAACTTCACGGGTAAACACCGGTTGGGGCATAAACCCACTGACACCGGAACATCGTTTGAAGGCCAGTCTAAGTCGTTGCATTTCATCGTCTGTAACTGAAGGAGTTTCAAACAAACAAAACGAAAATCAGCTGGAACATGCATCGAAACTTACTTAACCTGGTGAACAGGTCTTTCAATCGTGACAAGAAAACTTACCTCTCTTCGTCGCTTCCTCATAAGGGAGGAAGCAAAGTTTTGACTCCCTAAGACCCATATTGAAGTAGTGTATAAACTCCTACATTTTTCCGAGGTTGTCGTAGTCCCGATAAACAAAGTTACTAATAAACATAGCACCTTGCAAAGTCCTGATCCCGATAAAAACACTCACACACCTTCCTGATTCCTGCTCGTGACGTTCAAAGCCTCGCTTCGGCAACTGCTTCGTGTTTCTAAGCACTGTTGCACTGTGGGTAATATAACTGCGCGGGAGATTTCAATAATTTTGTACTCTAAGAACTCAGGTTTGTCTCCCAAAATTTTTGGCGATTTTATGAAACAGTGTATGTATATCTCACCATCAAGGAAGTTTATATTTTTTATCCTTCACTGCTCTTTTCCGATGCAACAAGTTTCCCTCCGAAGGGGTGGGACAATGAAAACACTGTGACTCCTTAGTTACATCATCTCTGTGTTTCCTTAACATCATGACAGTTTCAAGAGCAAATAGATAAAGGGGCAAGTTTCTAAAGAAACTGTGGTGCTGCGTCAGTGGGAGAGTATAGCAGGTAATTTAGTGTTGGTTGACAACTGAGTTGAAAACGTAAATTAGCCACCGTAAAGGGTAAAAAAGCTGACGTTTCGAGCGTTAGCCCTTTGTCAGCGCTCGAAACGTCAGCTTTTTTACCCTTTACGGTGGCTAATTTACGTTTTCGCAGGTCGGTAGAACAAAGGAAAGTCAACGCGACATCTGTAACGAAAAGTTTGGGCTAAAAAGCCTATTTTATTACTTCAAAATAAACCGAGTAGTTACATGTTCAAAAGACCGCAAAATAATTGACTATACACCGAATGCGCATATCGTTTTTTATTTAATCATTAGTGGCGCGCTCATTTTGATAGGTTCGGTTGCACGTGTCTATGTTCGCTACTTCTATACAGCCCAGTAATCTATGCCGGCATACTTCCAACAGTTCTTCGTCAAAACATCGAGACGGTAGAGTCCAAAATGAAAGTCAAAGTGCCACCGTGGACAGCTGACTCCACCTGTTTGATTCTCGTAAGATTCTCGTGGGAACAGTGTCATGACAAGAATAAGAGTAAGAAGCGCAAGGGGCAATATTGTATACAAGTGATACCTAGTACTGTTTCTACATGAAGTTCACTTCAAAAAAGAGTTCTGATTTCAAGCAAGTTACGACTTCTAAATCACAAGGAGATATGCGAAGGAAATTGCGGCTCATGTTTCCACCATTCAAGTGGGATCCAGGTATCCTTGATAAGAAGACTGAACATTAATGCATTGTTTTCTTTTTTTGAGGGGGGAAGAGGGTGGGGAAGGGAAAGGAAAGGAAAGTGGCCCGAATAGAACACACTAAATACTCACAAGAGAGATACAATCCCCCATAACACACACACACACACACACACAAAATACACGAAAAAACATATAATAAGCATGTCACCATGATCCAGTCCTCGACCATATTTTGTCTATATTTTTGTGGGGCAGGGTCTTGTATGTCTTTATAAAAGACGCACTCTTACCGAAGAGAACACACTCTAACAACAAAAGAATGCATTCTAAAGAGAGAACGCACTCTAACTAGGTAAGAATGCATTCTAACTGAGAAAGAACGTAAAAAGAGACAAGAAAGAAAAGAGGAATAACGGCCATATCCACATGTAGCGTTAAACTCAACCAAAGGGATGCTGTGGAAAATAATTCCACAATTACAGAATTTGCTCTAATTCTACTTTAATATAGTAATGGGTAAACATCCCCATAAGAGTTGCTCGGGTGCCAGGGAAATTTGCTCATTATCTAACGAAGGTGTGTCACTGAGAAAGCCTGTTCCTTAATGTTCACTACAGGAGGCGGGTAGGGGCGGAATTAAGAATACCGTTTGTAATAGCTGTTTTGTAGTCTTAACTCTAGACGGTGGCCAATTTAAGTTACATGTATCAACCCAGTCGATAATACCAAACTACCTTGTTCCAATCTGGAATCACTGAGTCAACATTATATTTCTGTCTTTTTTTTCGTGTAAAAGTTTATTTACGAGTATTTTACGATCGCTATAATATTTAAATTAGTTAGGTCTCCACATCTGATGATTAGTAAGAGGCTGATCAGAACTTGACAGAATCAAAATCATGAGAACCAACACTTTGCTGCAGGTATTCCCCATAGAGCCGATCCTGAAATCACAAAGACATTTCAGTATTCAGTCAGGGAAACTAATTCTCTATGATGCACACAGGTCAAATAACGGTTTCTACTTTCGTGCCAGTTCTCTTAATAGAAAATAAAACGCCGTTAGTTATCTTCCGCTATGTTTTCCCTGCTTTTTTTTCTAACCCACCTTGTGACCTTTGACATAACCTTGGACGTATGACCTTTGCTCCAATAACGTCTTCTTCTGTTTCCGTGAAAGTGTTGGTTTGAGTCTAGAGCAAAAGGAAGGGAGACAAACATAACTAAACGTAAAGCACAAAATTACTTTAACATTTAACAATTTTTGGACAAGAAGTTGTCAGAAAACAGCCATCACTCCTGTTTGTTTCTCTCTCCAATTGACACAAGGTGGAGAGTAAAACAAAACCAAATTGAAAACATGCCTGTTACAAATCAATTTAGTCTCTCATTATGTGCTTAGCACATTTGGTACAAGGAAGTCCCTTAATTCCAATACTATCAACTTTCCTTTATGTCATAAAATATGAGATTCCTAACAGGTCTTCCACTTTCACGAGGGTTGCAGCAAGGAATAATCAACTCCAGCACTTCAGTAATTCAGTTTAAGTGAAGGTTTCAAATTAGGAAAGTCAACTGACACCCACCTGGATAAAAGCTTTGCAACAATCAGCAGCAAAACTGAGAACAAAAGCATTCCTATGAGGGTGTGGTTATGATGCTGAGCTGGGATTGACTGCCACATTTTTTCAACAGGTGCCTGAGAGTAAAGAGATTTCACACATCAGCCTTTTTCATAATTTTATTATGACTTAGAGAAATGCTTTGACTTGGAGATCTCATTAATCTGTTGTTTTAGACAGTCTATACTGTGTGAACACATGAATTAAGGCCATTGCCTCTCCCCTAATTTCAAAAAGAATAATTTCAAACTGTCTCCTTTTGTCCCTGACTTGCTCTTTTTTTATAATCAGTTACTACTCTTTATGCCCCTGTACTAAGCACACCAGGCCAAAGATGAATAAAGTAAAAAAAGGAGTTACTCTTTGCTACAAGGAGGAGCCAAGTGGATGAGAAAGAAAACCATAAAGTTGCTTAAGTCTCACTTGAAAATTACATGTAAACTACTGAGGCCATGTCAACAAAAACAAAATACACAACACATCTTATAATTGAGGGAAAGTTCATACCCAGGCCCCCTAATTTTCCCAAGCTCAATATCTGTAAGTAACTTCTACAAAAAAAGAAACAGTACTCACAGTGTAAATAAAGAGTTTTTCTGCCCTTTCTTTTGCAACCAGTCCATACAGAGTTTCTCTTGCATTGCTACTTGCTAGGAAGTTAACCAATAAAACAAAAGGGAGAAGAACACCCAACAAACCAAAAAATATACCTTTCAATCTTGCCCAGATATTATGCGAACAAGCCTCCCTGTTAAGAAAGATAACAAAGAAGAGTTTGCAACTTTTTATCTCATGTTTTGTGAAAGGGTTGGTAATAATATATCTGAGAGCAGTCATTTTGGAGTGGATTGTGAACAAAACCAAAGAAATCACACCCACCAGTCAGAACAAAAGAAAAAACTAGATGGCCTGTGATAATTCTAAGAAAAACCAAGCAAAATACACAAAGCACAGAAACATGTGAGTGACCATTAGTTGTGGTGGTTTTAATCTTTGTTAGTTTTTATCCTGGTTAAAAGGGTACCAAAAGTGTTTAAGATCAATTACAGAGCAAAGTAAAGCAATGCACTCTTGGATCCCTCTAGACACTAAATTGAATATTATGCCCAGGTAGTAAATCTCTCTCTTAGAAGGAATACTAAATAGGGATCTGAATATCCAAAACAAAGCAAAAAATAAAGCAGGTCTTGTGGAAAGTACAAACAAAATTCTTTCTTTGCATGTTGGTGGCAAAAGATAGCTATTGCTACTCACGTATCAAGACTAAGTTTTTCATCCACCAAGTCCGCAATTTTCTCACAGTCTTTTTCCAGTGTGTTAAGGGTGTTTTGTATTGTTTGGTTAATTGTCTTTTCAATTTCTTTACAGACTTCTTCTATTTGATTGGCACATTTAGCTGGCTACAAAAGAATTAACAGAAATAATAAAAAAGACCAAAGAAATTCAAGGCAAAAGGAGTACTATACTACTTCTTGCAAAATTCTAGGACTGAATTGTTGCATAGGTAGATACATATCTGCAACAGTTTGTTAGCATCCATACAAATACAAATACCAATACTTTGATAATAAGGTTTTGCTTCAGTGTCTGTATTGACTGGAATTTTGAAGCGTGAATTTTCAGTAATTCATAGAAGATATGGTAACATTTTACCTAAAGAACTCTCTCCACTATGAAAATGTGGTCATAATACCCTAACATTTAGATTGACAAGATTGTTACACAGAGAATTGCACTAGATGCATTTTGTAGTCAATCAAAGTTGTAATGGTTCTTTCTCTTTCATTTAGAGACAAATTATTTAGTGATTTTTAAGGTGTGAATTTAATACAAGTTTCCCGTGGGAAATGCTAGGTTAACACTTAATATGTTAATTAATTCAGAGTTTGTCATAGAATATTTGTTTGCGCCTCACCTTGTCCAGTAGCGAGGGAATGTAAATAGTCGGCATCTCAAATCCTGCTTTGTTAAGTCCTGGCCTTTTACAAAGCTCCTGTGTTATCTGCATTAACACTTTCTACTCAAAAACAAAAGAAATTTAAAAAAAAAAAGAAAAAAAAAAGTAGAATTAACCATCAATTCTCTCTATTAGATGCTGTACACTATTTTTTTTAGAACTTTAGTTTCAACAATCTGATGCTGAATCAAACAATAACCCCTGATTGGCATTTTTCTATCTTTTCATAACTTTTCTACCTGAAAACGTGTTGATATGGTGAGGAGAAATCCCTTTTTGACCACTCCTGGGGGTGAATCTACAAGGAGGCTAATTTCTATGAAATAAAATCCTTATTGTACTGACTTGCCATGTTTCTTTGCAAAGCAATTTAAAAGCAACTCTTCAGTAAAATTTATTTCAAAACACAAGATAGCCTCCATATATTTTTTTGGATAATGCATGCATCATTGCATCAGTTTGGCATACCTGCCTGTCACTTTCATGTCCTGCAGTGTCTGCTTTGCTCAAGAAAAATCTGATTCGATCTCCTTGCTTCTCATTCATTTTTTCTACCATGAAACACAAGTCATTTAATTATAGACAAAACTGAAGAGTAAAAATAGACATAGTAATGACTTAAATGTGGGTTTCTTACCAACTAAATTTAAAGTTCTCTTGCAAAGAGCTTGCCCAATTGGATCAAAGAACACAAAAATCAGATCAGCCAGATCACCTGGAGAAAGACAAAATATGTACAGAGTCTTACTACAAGGAAAAGGAAAATGTGGAGCAAATACAAGGAAGGAAACTGTGTGTAAACCCTAATGACCCTATGTTTGATATTGCATGCTCTTGGTGAGTCTGTGATTTGCTTTCATGAGGAAAACCAGGTGGTAAAACTTTTTACCACTTGATCAAGAACAGAAATGACACTTTACTGTTTAGAACTTGATCTCTCTGGCCATTTTTTAATAGCCGCATAAAGCTCCTCTCAGGCCACTGAGATGTAATCTTTTTCTCTTCAATGCCATAGAAGAGGGAGGGCTGGACTGGACTTTAGCATATCGGATGATTTTGTCCAATTACATGTAACTGCAGTGCTTTTTTTTTTTTACCAAAGATGAAAAGATCGATAGATTT